TTCTTTCCTTCAGGAGTTTAGTGACTTTCTATCCTCCACTGTGAAGCTGTCCAGACTGGTGATTGTTGGTGACTTTAACATCCACGTTGATGATCCCTCTGATCTCTTTGCCATGAATTTCTCCAGCCTCATGGACTCCTTCGGCTTTACCAGCATGTTTCTGGCCCCACACACACCAGGGGGCACACTCTGGACTTTGTTTTTACCCTGAGTCTAAATGCTGACAGTGTTAAAAGTCCGCTTTCCAGAGGAAAAATGTTTGTGAACACCGTTTAGACTACATTACCCATGATGCACCTCGGTATCTGTACTTCCCGTTGGGAACGTGTTCAGCGCAGTTCAGCACAGCTGAAAGGTGTTGGATGATCAGCGTTTTTCTCGTGCGTTCCTGTGTGAGTTACCCTTGGTGTGCGTGTTTATCATGTGAGTATTATAAGATGAGATTGATGCTTATTTGACTTTATCTGTGAGTTGCTCTGTGTAAATCACTAAGTAAGAAGCTAGTCCTGTTGCTAAGTTGCAGGTTTTGTTGGCCTACTTCAGGCAGCCTTGGTTGCAACTTATATGGCATTCCATATACGACTCACTGTCAAGTATGGTGGTTGGAGGTGGATAGAACTATTTTCTGTGTTTATTATCTGACCTGTAGAGATACTGTTTGCTAATGCATATACGAACAAGAAATTCATGTATGGTCTTAGGGTGGCATCTAGTGGCCATGAGGTTTATAGCAGATCATATAACTTCATGCTGGAAACCCACAGTGCTGTATAAGCGGTACACTGCTATTCATACTAATGGTTGTTCTTTCTGTTAACAGATTACCACACCCACATACTCCTGCACACTCCCTTTACCTGCATTCATAGATGGGAATGCAATTGCCTCACCACTAATGTTGTACAGCCTGTTGATGTCATCTGCTACCTCTTTAATAAAACTACTTGGACTACATCACTGTGGAGTGCCAATCCTTCTGACAGAGGACAACTCAGTTGAAGCGTGATTGGCAATCAGTGCAAACATTCAGTACAGACAGTGTTTGTCCTGAGGACATTTATATTTCAGATCACCATTGCATTTTCTTTAACCTGTCAGTTTCTGCGTCCCCACCTCCTGCTCGCCGTATGGTTAGTTCTCGTTTTCTTAATGAGAGCACAGCTAGAAATTGTTCTGCTGCTTTTGATCCACCCTGTTCTTCTGATATCGACCCAGATTCCTTAACTTCTCAGTTTAACGAGCACTGCCTCTCCATTCTGGACAACATCTGTCCTATCAGAACCATATCAGTTCCTGCAGTGAACCCTACTCCCTGGTTTAATGACAGCCTTCGCAGCCTGAAGCGCCAATGCAGAAATATTGAGCGTTTGTGGAAGAAAACCCATCTCCACGTCCATCTGCTGCACCTAAAGGATCTTCTGACATCCTTTAACTCTGCAGTCAGAGACGCGAGGGTTTCCTATTTCTCTAACCTGGTGTCCCAGAGCAAAGAGAACCCCAAGATGCTGTTTAACACCATCAGCAGCATCGTCTCTCCTGCCTCTCCTACAGCCTCCATCCACTCTGTTGCAGACTGTGAGAACTTTCTGTCTTTCTTTGTGGACAAAGTCAATAAGGTTAGATCTAGCATCTCTCCTTCAGCCTTATCGCTGCCTCTCCTGACTCCAACCAGGCCCATCATCCTAGATAGCTTTGCTCCTGTTTCTTTGCCTGCGTTAACCAAACTAGTTAACTCTATGAAGACCTCTGCATACCCCCTCGAAATCTTACCCTCATCTTTGTTTAAAAGTGCTTTTCAGTCCATCGGTCCCAGCGTGCTCTCCATAATTAATGCTTCTCTGGTTTCTGGTCAGGTCCCTGCTTACTTTAAGAACGCTGTAATCCACCCGCTTCTTAAAAAACCGAGTCTCGACCCCTCTCTCCATAGCAGCTTCAGACCCATCTCTAAACTTCCGTTCATCTCCAAGATCTTGGAAAATGTTGTGGCTAAACAACTCACAGCTGCTCTTGATGAACATAACATCTATGATAGCTTCCAGTCAGGTTTTTGTAGAGCTCATTCTACTGAAACAGCTCTTCTTAGGGTCTCTAATGACCTTCTGACTCACAGTGATGCAGGGGACTGTTCTGTTGTGGTCCTGCTGGACCTGACTGCAGCCTTTGACACTGTTGACCATCACCTGCTACTGGAGAGGCTGAGAGACTAGGTAGGCCTATCAGGATCTGCTCTGGAGTGGTTCTCCTCTTATCTTTCTGAGCGCTCTTTTTCTGTGGCCGTCTCCAAGTTTAGGTCCTCCACCACCTCTCTTACCCATGGTGTCCCACAAGGTTCTGTGCTGGGGCCTCTGCTCTTCCTCCTCTATCTGCTTCCTCTTCAGCACATCCTGAGCTCCTTCAAAGGAATCTCCTACCATCTTTATGCAGATGACATCCAACTGTACATCTTCTTTAAGCCCCATGAGATGTCTAAGCTGCAGCTGTTACACACCTGCTTAGACTCTATCAAAGCCTGGTTGGCTGGGAGCTTTCTACAGCTGAATGAAGACAAGACTGAGATCCTCATCTGTGCCCCAGACAAGCTGGTTCCCAAAGTCAGAGACTCTCTTGGTCAGCTTGCTTCCCACACCAAACCCTCTGTCAGGAATCTTGGCGTGACCTTTGACCCAGCTCTCACCCTGGATTCTCATGTCAGTTCTCTTGTTCGCTCTTCCTTCTTCCATCTCAGGAACATTGCTAAGCTGAGTCCCATTCTGTCCCGCTCTGAACTTGAGACAGTTCTCCACACCTTCATCTCCTCACGCTTAGACTACTGTAACTCTCTTTTCACGTGTCTGAGCAGAACCTCCCTGAACCGTCTACAGGTGGTTCAGAATGCCTGTGCTCGGCTTCTGACCAAGTCCTCCAAACACACCCACATCACCCCGCTTCTCCTCCAGCTTCACTGGCTTCCAGTCAACTTCAGGGCTCATTTCAAGATCCTGGTTCTGGTCTATAGGGCCTTACATGGACAAGCACCATCTTACATTGGTGATCTTCTTAGTCCCTACACCCCCAGCAGGTCCCTGAGGTCCAGTGACCAAAGCCTACTGGTTGTGCAGCACCAGGCTAAAGGTCAAAGGTGACAGATCATTTGCTGCTGTGGCCCCCAGACTCTGGACCTCTCTCCCCCTGAGCCTGAGACCAGTGGACTCAGTGGTCTCCTTTAAAAAGCAGCTGAAGACTCACTTGTTCAAGCTGGCTTTTGTATGACCTTCTTCACCACTCTCTCTTTATTCTGCTCTCCCCACCTATTCCACCTTCCTCAGGATCCACCGATTTCCCTCCTTCCTGTTCACTCTCTCTCTCTTTCTTAACATTGTTTTAATCACAATTGTCTATTTTTGCTCATTTTAATATATTTTTAAACATTTTCTAAATGCTTTTTTATATTTTTTCAGTTTTTGTTTTTGTGAAGCGCCTCGTGATTTTTATCTTGAGAGGTGCTATAGAAATGATATTTTCTTCTTCTTCATCATCTTCTTCATCATCTTCTTCTTCTTCTTCTTCTTCTTCTTCTTCTTCTTCTTCTTCTTCTTCTTCAATTTCTGCTTGTGAAATTGTGCTTCCTTGATCTGCCTTGATCTGCGGTCGCCATCGTCGTTGGCGGAGCGCTGCAACAGCCGGCTTATGTATATGCATGAGATCCACAAGGCACTTTGCATTGACCATTTATGGCAGTAAGTGGGCGTGGTGAGGGCGGGATGTGACTAAAAAGCTGCTGAGAACATTTTTAGATAGTTTCTGATTTATGAAGCGGAGATTGCGTGCAGCTGTGCTGTACTCCATGTTTGATAGAACACAAACCTCCTTGGCGTAAGTACATTGTTTTTGCTGAGCTTAAGTACGGTTTTAGTAAGGACTCTGCGCAATGTTTGATAAATGAGACCCCAGCTCTGGAACCAAGAAGTATGGAGGTGAGATGGATCTTAAAAAGAGGTCTATCTTTTTAAAGGGGGCAAAACTGGCAAACACCCAGTGGGCTGAGAATGAATTCTGTTTCAATGTAACCTTTCTTCCAACATGACTCGGAAGAGTGCCCGCCCTGAGACTGGGAGATCAGGTGTTCGATTCCTGGTCGGGTCATACCAAAGACTTTGAAAAAATGGGACCCAATGCCTCCCTGCTTTAGCCTGGCAAGCCAGACTAAACAAATGTATTATTTAGTCTGGCCATGCTCCATTGACGGCTCTCGGTTGTGGGGCGGGTTCTACAGTTGTCTTTCAAATGATCTCCGCATGCTACTGGACAATGAATGTGACATACTCTTGTTTCACTCTGTTGCATCATCCCACCCACCAGGCATATGGAGTGCCCTGATTGGCCCACAAAGCAGATAAAGCTCTGTGATTTGTTCACTAAGCAGATAGAGCACTATGATTGGCCCACCATTATGGACCAATCACAGCTCTTTATGTGTTTGAAACCCCTCTAGAGAGCTGTGATTGGCTAGCCAGAGTCCTGGTAGGAGCTGCTGAGGTTCCAATGGAGCATGCCTAGACCATTCTTTGCAAAGCAAGAATTTGGTCTAGTTCACTAGGCTATCCCTGCTTGACACTCAGCATTAAGGGGTTGGATTGGGGGGTTAAACCACCAAATGGTTCCCGAGTGCGGCTGTGTCTGCAGCTCACCGCTCCCCCAGGGGATGGGTCAAATGCGGAGAACAAATTTCACACACACACCTGTGTGTGTGTGACAATTAATGGGACTTTACTTTTAACTTTAAGAAACGTGAAATCTGTGTGCATCTTTTACTTTGAAAGCTGCCAATGGTTTGACACAGCTTCCATCTTTGACCTCCTGTCTGGCCAGATCTCAACTACTGAGCTTGATGTTTTTTTTACTGGCAAGATCAAGCTGACATGAACTTATCCCATCAAGATAAAGATGAATGACCAGAGTGGATGCACCCATTGGGAAGAGTCACCAATTCAAGTTGCTACGCTAAGTTAAATATTAGACCATTTCCCAAACCCCTGAAACTTGATTATATATTTTGAAAGTGTCTTACATATACTCAAGTGGTAGATATATCTTGTTTTTGACAAATGTTAAAGGAGCCACATGCAAAATCAAACATGCCAATGTGTGTGTAGCTAAACACTTGAACAAAGTACCACAGACACTCTCACCCCACTTCACACTAGAAGCGTCAGCAGTGCAGAACGTGAATGCTTTAAATAGAATCCTTTATACATACAATAGTCAATGGGGGTAATTCAGATGTGGACATTTTCTGGTGCATACCAGAAGCGGCACGCTGTGCCGTGCCGATAAAGTTGGGATCGGATTGTATTTTTGCTGCGAGCCACTTCTGTGACACGTAAATTTCTACAGTTAACATAGGGCTAGACAGGAAATCAGGTATGATTTCAGTGTAAAACCTCTGGTAATTTTCATAATAAAAGACGATTGGTGTATCCGGACTGATCTATGGAAATTATATTTTCTTCTTCTTCTTTCTTCTTCTATTGCAGCAATGCAATTTCATATCTATGTAGATTACGTCTATACATATGACCTGACGGCTTATTTACTCCCAGCATCATTCGAGAAGGGCAGCAATGTGTTTTTATGGCTTTAATCCTGGCAGTGGACAGGCACAACATCATGTATGGCAACAAACAGTGAAATCAAATGTGATTTCTCTGTCTTCGGTTTCATTGTGAATGGCATAAACAAACCGTGAACTCTGAAGGCTCGATGGATTTTGTGAATAAGAGTCCAATGAGAAGCATGACAGAGAAGCTGCTGCCGTGCCGCACCGCTGATGCCTCCAGTGTGAAGTAGGGGTCAGACATCCCAGCAATACGATGTAAAATTGTTCAACCAGCTGAAGTACTTCCAGAATAGAAGTAGTTCTGATGTTTTACCTCCAACATGTCATAAAACAAATCTGGACAGTTACCCAAAAAAAAAACAACTCTGGGTTGGAAATATGAAGGAGAAACGATGTTTATCATTAAGATTTTGTCCCTAATTTGGTTCAGTTTTGTGCAAAAATGTCAGCTTGTTTTCACAAAGGGCACAAAAAACAAAAGTCCTGCTCTGTTGATTCACAGTGCAACCCAGAAAATCGAAATGTTTGTAGCACCTTCGTGTTTTATCTGGTTAACTCGTCCTCTGATGCAATCCAGAGTAACATAAACAGATGTGCCATTCTGGACCTGAAACGAGGCTCTGAGTCCAATACTTGCCCATTCACTGCCTTCAGGCATTGATCCAGACACCTGCTGAGCCACAGGACCCGCCTGCTCGCTTTTCCCTCCAACCCTCTGCAAGGTGAGCTTAACTATATTACAGGAGTGGATAAGTTTTAGGTTAAGGGCCACATTTGCTGTCCCCTTCTCGTGGAAGATAAAGTTCCTGCGAGCGCCTTGTTCTCCAGAGCGGGCCAGATTGACCTGTGGTGTATCCGGACTGATCTGCTGGAACAGCAGAGTTTTATTCCTGACAGCTCCAAAGGGAAGACCGGTCCGTGACACTGTCGCTGTCAAGGCTGACGACACGGCAGAAGGAATCCAGATCAAGCTCAACATACTGATCCCAGTGCTGTCCCCGAAGTACCGGATGTTGCACTGAGATGGAGATGCGATCTCAAACATGAGAGTGTCTTTGCTCTCCACCATCACTGCACCAGAGAGGGTGATGGAGGTGTCTCTGTAGTTCACACCAGTCTTAAAAGCCTGCATCACCTCTAAGCCAGTCCCATTTCGGGCCTTGTAAGTGATCAGGGAGAAACCTTCTCGAACGCAGGCGTGACCCATGGAGTAAAGCGCCTGCTGAAGGACAAACTTCACCACTCCGCTCTCTGTGAAGCGTACCCCACGGCTGTCATGAGTGAGGCTGACCATATAGGGGTCGGACACAAATGTGATGCGGAAAGTTGGACGGTAGCTGGTCTGGTAGTGTGCCAGCAGGGACATGTGAGCCGTCATGGCAACAGCACCAGTATCATGAGACAACCAAAGCAAACTCAGGGAAGGAGTTGGGAAGTCAAAGACGTGAAGATCCTTGCTCTGATTGCAGTGATGATTTGGACTCTTCAGCAGAAGCGTGAAGATATCGTCAGGCTCTATCTCCACCCCGGAGCTCACGCTGACCCCCTGCAAGTACTTCCCATCTGGCTGTTCAATACGAACACCGCTGAGGTCCTGACTCTCCTCCTCTTGGCTCCCGTTGAGCTTCATCCCCACCTGTAGGAAGTTTCTGCAGCTGTGCTTTATTGCAAAGTTATAATCCAGCCACACTAGACCATGTTGAAGAAAGGTGATGTTCCCTGCTTGATTGGATAGAAAATCACTGCTCTCCTTCCCTCGTATGTTCAGCTGTAAGCCAGGGAAGATGTGGCTCCCAGATGTACTAGCAGGAGGAAGCGCCACATCTGCTGCCCAGGACTTTGAGAGTCGGCTCTCTGAAAGTGAGACGCAGACGGAGTCGCTGGTGGAGGTACAGGGAACAACAACGGGTTCTCCATCACAGTCTGAACAAGCCTGGCACTCCTGCAGCTCCTGGTTGTAGAAGTACTCCTGACCGCACAGGCCCATCGCAGCCTCTTTCTCTGAAACCCCAAGACACCTGAAACCCCCTACAAAATAAAAGACCAAAATCATTCTAAAATATGGTTTGGTAAGCACAAATGATGAACGTCACTTGGAACAATTAGATTTGAGCTTACCAGGAGTATTGAGGCATTTAACCCGCTCCCCACAAATGTTTGGTAGTTCAAGACATTCATCTCTGTCCTGCAATCATACAGTTAAAGTTTTGTTGATATGAGTGTGCTGAACTTTATCTGGGGTCTTGGACTTTTCGTACCTGGCACATTCTGTCTGCAGATGGGGAGCACTGTGAGATCAGGAAGAAACCCGGAGGACACATGGTGCACTTCTCACATCGGGGTGGATCCCTTTGAAAATCACAGAATTCCTCTGATCTGCAGGGTGAAGGGCATCCCAGCAGAGGCTGAGGAAAATGAGCCTCTCCAACAACATCCATCACCTTTGAGTCTAAGTCCATTTTATGCACGGCGTAGGATTTCTGAAGGTGGCTGCGGGCTTGGCTCTGCAGCCCTGCCAGGTGACTCTCAAAGTAGGTCTGCAGTTCGCCCTGCAGGCCCTGGAAAGAGACCTGCTTGACGGTGTCCGACAGGAGGCCGAACTGAGCCTTCACCACATCCATCTGCTCATACATGCGCCGCTGCTGCTCTAGGACGTCTCGCTGCTGAGAAAGCAGGGCCTCCTGCTGGTCCACAAGCTTCTGCTGCAGGTCACGAATGATGACCTGCTGGGCTCGCAGTGCCTCCACCAGCTTCTCCTGCCCTTTTTCCAGCTGGAGGTGCAGGATGAGGGCATCCTCTGAAGGAACCTCATTCTCCCCTGAGAACAAAAACATGCATAATAAGTTATTCAACCCTTTGATTGTTTTTTGTTTTGTTTTAAAATACATGACGTTGATAACATGTGCAAAGACTGTGACCCCTTTGCTTCCTTTTCTTAGCTGAGCCATGGCAAGTGACCTGAAAGTTTCCTTTATAGAGTCGCATCAAAGCACATCTACATTTTCTGGGTGATTGACTCTGATGGATTTTCCACTTCAGCTCCACCCGTTGACTTGCAATAATTTTTAAGATAACAAAGAAGTCTTAAAATGTTTAAATCCACACTTGCAGATCAAATCAATTAAAGCATTTTATTTTGATTTAAAGATTAAAAACAAACACCAACACACACACACACCAAACACCAGCAACATATTAGTAATTATCTGAGACAAAATAATTTAACTCTAACACAAGTGTAAAGAAAACAAAAAAAACTAAACAAATGTTAAACCTAGCGCTGGAGGCTAATCACCATGGCAACATCAAATCATTGTATCTCACTCCCTGGCTGCAAATTTAAATGAAAGGGGAAGACAGGAACACCGACAGGTGATATGCAGAACCTCAAAGTAATATTGAGAAACGTCTTGAACTGTGAGTAGCAGAAGCTACTTGAGAATATTTATGTTTCTGCCAGGTTAGGACAGTTTTCGTCCACTGATGGTTTCTACTTACTATTACTGAAATGAGGTAGACCTTCATGTAAATGATATAAGGGTAGATTGACCCCCTACCACCATTCAAGGCATTTGTAATCATGCACGTGCACATTTTGCCTATGATGTAAGAGCTATTGCATCATTATTCCTTAATAAATGTCAGATTTTAACTATATTTTTCATGAAGAAAAACCTGATAAAATATAAGATAACAGACCTGGTTTTATGTCACAAGTGAGCTGGACTCCTAGAGGCGCTCCTCCAAGTTCGGATGACGGATGTCCAAACTCGTCTCCCAGGAACTGCGCGGCTCTGTCGGACAGATAGGCTGGAGGCTGGTCCGCGGTGTGGGTGCCATCCGAAGAGCATCGCTCTCCAACACAAGACCTTCCCCTGGATTTCGTCCGCATCCTCGGCGGCAGTCTGCACTCGATCCCCCTGCAGTCTCTGGTTTCGTTGTTGGTCTGAAACTGTTTCGCGGCAGAGGCGCAGTCCGCACCCAAACATCTCTCTTGCGCTCTCACGTGTGCGCCTCCATCGCCGTTCCGCCCGCGGAGAAACAGCGTGGACGGGCTCGGTTCTTTTGGGGAGTGTGGGTGGTTCTGACCGGCCTCTGGTTGCGCGGTCCTCCCCAGAGTTGTTGGGTTAAACTGTCGCTGGAGTCTGGATGATCCGTCACCCTGACAGTGCGCTCCCGCGCACGGACTCGGTTCAGCGGAGTCCCCGTGGAAGCAGCGCGTGCCCCGGCATTTCTCCGCTACAGATTGCGCCGCGTTACGCAGTGATGCCCAGGTCAGGAGCAGCAACAGCACTGAAGTCAGTAAAACCATTTTGCTTATAGATGCCTGAAACAAAATCAGTGGGGGTAAAAGTAAAGTTGCACATGAAAATATGGCTAAATCTGCAGATTTTCTTTTACCTTCAGCTGCAGGATTCCTGAAACTCCGCTGAGGAGTAAAAATATTAGCTGGTTCTCTTCATGTCTGAGCCACTCTGGGGGTTCCTGCTCTGACTCACTGTGGCATTCCTGAGACCTAATTAGCATCAGATTTCCTTGGCCACACATTAACCCTTCATCCTCCCCGCCATCTTGAATCCCCCTCTGATGGGATTTACTGAAAACTTCTTAAAGTGCTGGTTAAATACAAGGTGTTTTAAAGGGAAATTATGTTAAGTGCAATAACTACTTTTCTTTTCACTCTGTTGATTTTCTTTGACCTCTGGACAGTCAGATCAGATGGCCTCTATTGAATGTTGAAACAGCTGGTGTTCAGCAAAAGCATCCCCCTACTTATCTTGTCGTCAGCCCCTTTTTTATAGGTAAAGCCTGGGGAGGTCAAGCTTTGCTGAGCAATGCGCCTCCTCTCCAAAGCTTTGACCCGTTAGCATTCCAGCGTCCTGCCCGTGGGACAACCCCCCCATAGCGTTCATTAAACCTGGAAATTTAATTTAGAATAGAATAGAATACTTTATTTGTCAATTTCTTCGAATGTGCTTGCCATACGAAGGAATTGAAATTACGTTTCACACTGTCCCATGCATAGACATTAAGATAAAGTGCAGATGCACAACAATAACAAAAACAAAAAACATCCCTAACAATAAGATAATATTAAACAGGTAAATATCGCTAATAATATACTAAACATATAGCAGCAGGTGTGTGCAATTGCAATGCAGAGGTAGTTGTTTACAATCAGAAATGTTTACCCCGTTCTTGGTTCAACCACTATTTGCTTTTTGTATAATGTGCATGTGTGTGTGTGCATGTGTGTGTGTGTGTGTGTGTGTGTGTGTGTGTGTGTGTGTGTGTGTGTGTGTGTGTGTGTGTGTGTGTGTGTGTGTGTGTGTGTGTGTGTGTGTGTGTGTGTGTGTGTGTGTGTGTGTGATTTAAGGGGTTAATGCCGGGCTTATGGACAGTCAGGACTGATGGAACATGTAGCCCAAGGCTGATGTTTATGTGGAAGAATTATTATTTTGAGAACAATCGCTTCCCTCTGATTCCATTTCTGACAAACAAAAACAAGAAAAATTCAGTTGTTTCTAACCAAACTTCTGATATTCATTTAAGTCTGGCACAGCAATACAGCACTGACTTTGTGTGAACTGGTCTGTTATAGTTAATAAATTATTTCTTTACAATTTTCTCAGTACATTTCTCCATAAATCATAGTTTAAAATCATCTTGTTTCATCCTGTTCTTCAAATATAATTCATCAGTTGACTGAATCAAGTTCAAAGGCAAAAAGTTAGTAAAAGAATAAATAAACAAATACAGAAGCATATAAAGTAAGAGCAAATGAGCAGGCGTACAAATGGATTGCAAGCAAACCAAAAGACCCTCCCAACTCTTTCATGGGTGTAAACTTACGGTGTGGATTGTTGCACCACACAGAAGAAAGGACTGTAATTTGGCAGCATGTAAACACCACCCATTATGTTGAACAGCAGACTGCAAACAGAGGGCACTGCCTTTCACATTTTCTCAGACACTGCTTGTCATGTTTAGCAAATTATTTTTGCAAGATTTATTTTTGGGAAATACACATAATGGTGCATTATAGTGTTTAAATGTTTGTCTAATTATAATGCCTTACATAAGGGTTGTAACACGTTTATAATTTTTTCAACTCTGGGCTTTGCAGCTTGAGCTGATACGTTTGATGAAATATCAACAAAATCATTCTGAATCTGTACATGTGGTGTTCTGCGGACAGGTTAAGAACAAAAAATTCACTTGTTTTTTAATGCATTTGCAGTGGTCTCTATAAAGGAATGCCTTGCGAGTCTATTTTCTTTCAGCATCTAAACCCCTGATTCACATCGGGAGCGTCGGCGGCACGGCAGCGGAACGTCACTGCTTCAGATAGAATCCATTATAAAATACGGAGTGTTTCAAACCAGCCGTGACGCGCAATTTTCAGGCGTATCCCAGAAGCAATAGGATTGGGGTCTACTTTTGCCGCAAGCCACTTCTGGACGCGTCAATTTCCGCAGTTCACATTGAAATGGACAGGAAACTGCACATGGATTCAGTGTTAAATACCCAGTGATTTTCTAAATGAAAGTATTGCAGCAATGCAATTTCATATATGTGTAGCTTACGTGTGAACTAACGGCTTATTTACTCCCTGCATTATTCCAGAAGTGCAGCAGTGTGATTTTCATGGCTTTAATGGTGGTAGTGGAGAGGAACAACATCACACATGAAATCAAATGGCAATATCAAAAGTCACTTCCTTCTTTTGGTTTAAATAGGGTTCAAATTATGCAGGCACTAAGGGGAGCCGGGCTCCCCCTAGCTCCCCCATAATTTAAACCTTATAAAATATTGTTAGCAGGAACTTCTGTAAAAATATCTGAGTTGTTTTTGAGACTGTGGGAATCCACTTGGTCTTGACCCCAAGTTGACTAGCCATTAGCGTATCAATCTCTGTCTCTCCACCGCGGTTGGTAAAAGACAAATTCAAACCTCAACACTGTCGGACCACCCTCAGTGTCAGACTGGAACAACACAACAAAGCTCCCTGCTGCAGAGCTCCAGAACCGTTAATCGGTGTATTTATTTGAGTGGGCTTGACGTTTAAGACTCTGCCTTTGGTGTCCATCTGTTTGTCAACCTCAGCGCACGAGAGGAAATGAGGGCGGTTGGGACACATGCCTGCACCCAGGGTGTTTGCTTAATTCATCACATCTCACGAATGGCTCTCCAAGTCATATGGTGTTATTTAGTCCCCCTCCCCTCAAAGAAAGAGAAAGGTGGTCTGTTTTTCTCATCAAATCTGAGGCAGATCTAATAGAAGATAAATCCTAATAGAGGATTATATTTTGCTGCAAAAGTAGAGCAAAACATTAGATCTTGAGCATATTTTACACGCATTTGTGCACATGTGAAGCTTCAACGTAATGAAAATAATAAGTGGAATCTTCTTTAATGGCCTCCCAGGTGAACTCACAGATAAATACAAATACTTATCTATGTCTGCATGTTCAGATAAGAACAGCCTTTATGTAGACATGTGATAACTTTCTGAACAGCCTATGTTTAGAGAAATGGAGTTTCCTGATAAGCTAACCGCTAGTCCCAGCCTACCATGCGAGCTCATACTGAAAGACACTCAAAATAAATGCATTAATGTTGTGCACAAATGGGTCTTGAGATGAAAAAATAAACAATAGCAGCTGGGGCTGTAGCAAAGCCTCGATGACGTCGACGGCTCGATTCTAAAAATTTGTCAACGTCAGATCCGGTAGTCGACGCACCACGCCCACTTGTTGCATCCCCAGGAGTTTGTAAATAGAGGAGGAATCTGCCTGTTTTTCCTCTAGTTCGCCCTCTTCTCCGCCTTCACTAACATCTCCGCCAAATACCGAAGACCCGGAACAACGTCCGTCCGCTACTAGGTTCCTTTCTTGTTTTTCCCCTTCGTCTCCCAGCAACGGACAACAACTTCCGGGGTCAGATTTGCTGCTTCGTCTCTATCGCAGATGTAGAAAATCACCGGGAGCGTTTCTCCCTTCATAAAGGAGCTTCTTCCAGACATTAGGAGAGCTGTTTTGGTGGTAGCAGTCTCTCCTCCGTGCTGGTCTGTTTGCTGCTGGGTGTTTTTGGTTTATTTAAACTTGGTAACTTGAACTTAATGTTGGTAAAGCTACTGTTAGCATTTTCGCTAGCAGCTTCTTGCGTTTGGATAAGCTGTTACGTTTTGGTTTAGAGCTCATCGTTTTTGTGGTGTAGATCTCCCTTTTATTACATTTAGAGTGTTGTGGGTTTTCGGTTTAGTTTAAAATATCACCTTGAGTTTGGTTTAACCGCCCAGTTTAGAGTTTGGACCTTTGGAGATACTTATTTTGGTCCAGAACCCAGTAATCTTTGCCCAGTGGGACAGCCCTACTTATTTGTACTTTTGTTTTAATTCCCCACAGGCAGAATTAGTTTTATTATTCCCAACCTGTGGGTGGAAAGATTTATGATTTTTTGTTGTTGTAAATAAACCTGATCATCATTTTAACTTTTAAATCCCGTTATTGTCCCTTCCTTTTTGCACACGAGCCATACTCCCCAGGAAGGGTCGTAACACCACTCCCCTCACGCTCATAAGTGACCAAAACAAAGCAGCATGGAGACACTCCGTCTCCAACCACCTCTCAGGCAGCAGCCTGCTCTCCCAAGTTCTACACGTCACCAGAACATAACCAACCAACACAATAAAAGCAGTGTTATACAAAATGGAAGGCCTGTAGTGTTTACTCTCTTACAGTAACAATTTATCAACGTTTTGGAGGAATTTATTAGAGATTTTTTGGTTTTTATTAACTGTGCAATAGTCAAATAATCATTAGATTGTGTAAATAGTCAATAGAATAGTCGACTATTCGATAAAATAATCGTCAGAATAATCGTTTTAAAAATAATCGTTTACCCCAGCCCTACTAGCAGCTGAATGTTGCACTTCCTGTTGATTCAGTGGTGAAATGTGGTAGGATTTTCCAAACGTATCTGCATGAATATCTGGAGTATAATGGTTCACACACACTCGGACCAGCCATTTCCTCTTCAGTCCTGGTTGATTTAAATGCAGCTTCTTCAAAATGATGCCTTTAAGAGGTAATATTTACGTGTTTTAAATTTCCTAAAATTCTGACTTTCAGTAAAATTACAGAACAGTTTTGAGTTTTGGACTTTTGTAAATCATTTTAATGTATTTTTATGAAGCAGAGTGTTGCATTGCGCAGACTTGACCCTCCTGACAGAAGACCAATGCTGTAAATCGGTTTCAGGGGTGAATAATTTACCCTTCTGCAAGCTGATTCAGCTGTTTGCCTTTCTTCATCCGATTCACTCAAGTGTTTTTCAGTCCTGACTTCCAGCTAAATCAAACCCATCTTTTTTAATTGGTAACTTGTCTAGCCTAGAGACCGTTTGCTGTGACAGCTGCTGATGAGGAGCACGTTTTAGAGGGATCGTCCAGCACAGCAGAAAGATTTCAGCTCTGTGCAAGAATGCAGCAGCAGGTCTAGACTCGAACTTCCGCATTGAGCAGGAAGAAGTCAACAGAGAACCGAATCAACACACCCAGATCTGACTACACGTGTCTGTTATCTTTTCTCGTGTTCAGTTACAGGCTATAACATTTTGAAGTGGAGCTAATGTCCATCAGGCTTTTATTTAGAGACTATCTGGTGAAACAAGGCTAAAAACCTCAAAGAAGGTGAGTTAAATCTTTGTTAAACTTATCTTTAAACCCAAAAAAGCTCTTAAAGCTGTTTTTTTTCCCTTAATATTGAGTTTGTTGAGAACGTCATTCTCCTTATTCAGTACCTGGTCGCTGTGTTTATGCTTCATTTTGACTCTTCTGAGAAATATGACTTTTATAGTAAGGATAAAAAAGGTGAAAGACATAAAAAATCCTGCCTGAGAATCCAGTCAGAGGCATAAACGGAATAAGATTCTATATAAAATGGCACAAATCTGTTTGTATGGATTGATGTTTGGGACAAAAACAAGAATTTGAATGGATTTTCAAAAGGATGTAAGTTCATATGTGCTCTGATCAGCTGGGTGGAACCCGTTTTAGACGCTTGGGTTACACAACAACCACACAACAGCTAACGGCGTAATCACTTTTACACATTCTGATGTTAAATTACAGGAATTCTAACTGAATCAGATGGAGAATGCCTCTAGAAATACTTTTAGATCGACGATATTTCAGTGGTGAGGCTATTTTCTGGTTTTTGAGTGGCGCAAAAGCACCGTTTTTGTCATCTCACGCAGTCCGTGACTCATGGATGAATTTGTGTTGGTTTAAAAAAAACTCTTAATGTATCAGAGAGGAACTTGATTTCAACATCTAGGTTTGATTTAGAAATCCCCAGTGTGTGAACGCAGAGAAGAATTGTTCTTTTGTTTCAAGTCAGTTGCGACTCGTGTTTTTGATGCCCTGCAGTGTTCTGCTTTTCATCAGACATAAAGTATGTATGAGGCACCTATTGTAGCATAAAACATGGAGAAAATTATCATCATTTTGCCACTTATAGAATTTTACATTTAGCTCCTCATAACGATTAAAAACAGACTTTTAAAGTCCTCTTCTTTAGGTAATCAAAATGTGATATCTAAACATTTAAAGATAAATCCAATTTCTAGTGTTAAAATACATATTTAGAATCAATATCTAAATATGTAGTTAAATACAAAAGTTGATCTATAAATATAGAAAATCTACTAACTTAGTAGCCTGGCAAGCCATCCCATATACAGTATGTGGTTATATAGTCTGGCCACGGCCCAATGACAGCTCTCAGTCGTGGGGCGGGATCTACTTGTCTATCAAATTCTCTCCACATGCTTTTGGGTAACGAACAACGTGACATACTCACAGCTTTGTCAGTCGTTGAGGCAGTCCGCCATACTCCGTCAAAGAAAATGCAAATACATCCTTTTTCTACATAAATTTAAGTACCTTTATCTGCTCTTGGCTAAAAGAAAAGCCCAAGTCTAAATAGTCCAAAGATGATGCCAAAGCTACTTGAAACAAGCCATCGCCATCTTTGTTTTTTCAGTAGCATCCCACCTACTAACAGAGTTCTTTGATTGGCCCACCAAACCAATTGAGCTTTGTGATTGGGCCGCTACACGTAGCTGTCGTCATCTTAGTTTCACTCAGTTGCAGTAATACCCCTCCCCTCCCCACCCCCCACCCCCCACCTGACCGTGATTGGCCCACCAAACCAGAGCGCTGTGATTAGACCGCCACGGATCTCAGTCAACGAGGCAGTCTGCCATACATTGTGGAAGAAGCAAGGAAAAGAACAAAAATACATTGTTGTTCTAAGTAAACATGCTGCAATTGGCCAGCCACGATACCGGCTGGGGCTGTGGAGGTTCTAACGGGGCGTTTAGACTGACGTGTCAAACTAACTCATCAAAATGAGGGTCTAGATTCAGGGCTACTAATTTAGCCCATCAGAATAAAAGTGAGGTGAAGAGATTTCCTATATAATGTCTGAGTCCTTTTAATGGAGATTTGATTTTACTATTGTTTATTTTTTTTTTTACATCAATGTTCCTTTTTGAGTTTCCCACTCAGAAATTCTTATTCCCTTTGAAAGAACATTGAGATCTTAGTTAAGGGTTCACCTCACCCCACACTTAGTTTAAAGGGACTTTACAGAGTTTTGAATTTTATGCTCGCGACTGCCCCCTCTGGCCAAAAGCGTAACGGCAGCTTCAATAGTAGGCTCGTGCACGAGGCGCGCATGCTGTACGTGCACACCCTTTAACGAAAATAACAGCTGAGACAGTCCCGTGTGTGTGTGTGTGTGTGTGTGTGTGTGTGTGTGTGTGTGTGTGTGTGTGTGTGTGTGTGTGTGTGTGTGTGTGTGTGTGTGTGTGTGTGTGTGTGTGTGTGTGGCCCGGAGGACAGAGGACAGGAGAACGCGCAGCTAATTAATTAATTAATTTGGTTCTGTACCTTTCTCTTCAGCACAGCTGACAAAGGTTTAAGATGGGTCAGTCCTCCTGCATGCTCAGATCATTCCCTTCCCTTGCTTGAAAAATTGTTCCAAAATGAAAGTTGAACCCACATCTTTTTTATCCATGAATTCAATGCCGTTCGGCAAGTCTCAAAGAAAAATTGGGCATCTTCCTGTAAAAAAATATACCATTAATGTAAAAAAGAAACTCCAAATAAACTATGTTCACACCCAGAATGGAACCCAGGTCCTCACCATGAGAGTCAGACATTTTACTAGGTGAGCTACACGCCAGTAACATTTGATGTGTCTGTAACATTTATATCCTTGATGACAGCTGAAGCAACGTCAATCCAAAGAACGGTTCGGAGTGAAAATGGCTATTTTGTCGCTAATTTGCAGGAAATATCTAGAAGAAAGTTCTACAGAAAGTAGCTAAGGGTCCTCAGAAATGTAGCTAGCTTTGTCACTAGGCGTTAGGAGCACTGCCTCTCTCTCTGCTGCTAAAGCTACGGATAGCAAATGCTACGGGCGATGTCTGAGCGTGAACGCGCATGAAGCAGCCTGCTCGACCCGAGCATCTCTCTTTTTCTGTGATTTTACAGAAAAACAGGCAATCACAGTAAAAATGCCAGGGCTCATTCTACAGGACCAGGGCATTGCAGGAGAATGTATGAAGAAGAAATTTATTATTTCTATACATGTTTTGGCTGTCAAACTTCCTTATAGTCCCTGTAAAAGTTTTATAGGTTCACTTTTTTATCTAAAACACAGAAATCCCAGAAGAGTTTCATGCTTCAATTTGTAGTTGCAGAAGTTGCTTGCATGTTTGTTTGTTGACAACGAGGAAGTGCAATCTCTCTTTTGCTCTCTCCATCTCACTTCACAGAAGACACTTTTTGCACTTTTTTTTCCTGTTTAAATATTTTCCAAATCTGAGGAAGAAAATCACACAATTTCATGCAAAAACGCTCAACCAGGCGTTAGTACATTGGGTTTTCTGCTATTGTTGACAGCTGAAGTCCAAGTATGAAAACAGGATTCATGCATTTAATACATTTAACACACGTTGTTGGTTTCTCACACAGAGGTGGTTTTATTCGCTCATATTAGTTTGTGGAAAACAGTTTTTTCCAGTTGATAGCCTGGTCAGCCATCCCCATGCTTCCTGATGGGAAGCATCGGTTCTCTGTAATTAAACAGAGGACGAGGCAGGCCAGGCGAACTTGTTGAGTTTATCAGTTTTGCTAATGTGTGAGAAGGAAGTGTCTGAACTCCATTTCTGACTTCATCAGCAGTTTTACTTTCAGCCATTTCCATTCTTTACAAGTGCTGCGTCAAAGATGGATGCGGTCCATTTAACTGGTGCTCAATACAGTTTTCATGTCAGATAAACCCAGTAGTGGTGATGGTCCTCCATCATGGCCACTTGTGTTTAGGGGAAATAATGGTGCCTCCAGGGTGGCAGAATGACACCGGCTAAATCTGCAGGTGGCTTCTGACACCATTTCCTTTTCAGTTTCAACACATGTGACAGGAAGTTTCCTCTCCACCACTTCCTCCCACCCAGTGAGCCTACCCCTCCATCCTACTCAGAGGCAGAGAATGTAACTGGAAATTGTCCCTCACCAGGAGGGAAAACATGATAAGAACCTCAATAATGATGTGATGTAATGAAACCCTTACATATTTGCCTTTTATAAAGCGTCGCATAAATATAATCATTCATTTGTCAGACAGGGTTTGTAAAGTTTTTATAATTAAATTCCACACATTTCTAACTTTGATGGCCCGCTTAGCCTCCGTGATTTGATCCCACATGAAAACATTTGTTTAAGAGGAAAAGCACGATGAGTCTAACCGCGGAGAATAAAACGCGAGGAGGAGATCAAAGTAAAGAGTCTGGTTTGTAAAATGCTCCGAAGCCTCGTGAGACTGTTTATTGGCAAGCCGTTTAAATGAAAATCTGTCCTGAGCATGAGTTAGGTAAGCGCTAAAACATGCTCGGCACAGTGCAGCCGGGTGGGGTGGGTGAGGGGGGGTTGTGTGGCCCCGTCGAACCTTCTACAGATCAGTGAAGAGAGAACTGAAATCCTCATCTATGCCTCTGACAAGCTAACGATGAGACTGTTATCCACACCTTCAGCACCCCACGCTTAAACTGGCTTTTCACTTGTTTTTAATTAGTATGTTGTAGTTAATTACCGATTCATAATTATTAGCAGTTGCGGAAAGGCCTAAATATGGCACCCATCACTAGAAGAAGCCTGCCTGACATCTTTAATCCACACGCTGCGTTTCTGTCATTAATGTGACAGCAGAGGAAACACGCCCCCGTCTGCTAGCGCTTTATTTCTAGCGTAGGAAACAAAAACAAGCACCTTGTTTTGACGGCAAATTCTGGACCAACATAGCATTTGCTTTAAGAAATGAGGCAGAAAATAATGTGTAACTGAGACAGCTGACTGTGTGTAATTACAATATGTCCTAAAGAGCTGTAGTCAGTGGTTCCTGCCTTAAACTCAAATAATTCATCCTGGCACATTTTCAAACATGCAATCAGGTGTTTGGAGCTAAGGTGTAAGAGTCGTTATTTTGCTGTTTCGGGTGTTCATTGTTATTATTTAAAAAGCTTTTGTATTTTATAACTATTATCTTGCAGTTACACTGCACTTGACTCTGATAAAATGGCTCAGTTTGGAGTTAGAGGGTTTTAAATGAAACATTTCCTATCAAACATCTGCAACGTGACTCGACACGTCCTGACAAACTTAACTCCCTGAAGTTATGCAAACACTTTGTTCTTTCTCATCCAGTCTCACTAGAAGATGTTTTGCAAGACAGCATAGCTTCAGGACTCTATTTCTGCAAGTTTCAAACTAAACTGCTTGTGTGAAGTGTTTAACCTTCATTTCGTCCATGCAAACTGATTTATTTGGTGTTTTGTTTTGTCCTCAATGCTAACAAGACAGAGACCCTGATCGCTGCACCCCCGGAACCTCAACCAAAAATCGAGCAAGGAATTGCCTGTTTTTGCCCATCATCCAAGGCCAACATTAGAAACCTAGGAGTTATTTTTGATCCAGCTTTAAGTTTAGACTCACACGTCAAAACCATCTCCCGCTCGTTTCTTTCAACTGAGAAACATGTCAAAAGTCCGTAAACTGGTTTCTACTGCAGATATGGAAAAAATCATCCATGCCTTTGTGTCATCACGCTTAGACTATTGTAACTCTCTTTTTACTGGTCTCAGCAAAACCTCCCTCTCACGACTTCAAGCCATCCAAAATGCAGCAGCCAGACTCCTAACCAAATCCAGCAGACGAGCTCACATCACTCCGGTTTTACAGTCCCTCCACTGGCTCCCGGTATAATATAGAATTCAGTTTAAAGTTTTAGTCCTGACCTATAGAGCTCTTAACAACCAGGCTCCAAGCTACCTATCTGAGCTTTTATCCCCACAAACCACCTCTCAGAACCTTAGATCCACATCTGAAAACCTCCTGGCCGTTCCTCGAACCAGACTGAAAACCAAAGGGGACAGGGCCTTTCAGACTGTTGCACCCAGACTTTGGAACAGCTTGCCTTCAAATCTCCGTCTCTCTAACACTGTAGAGATCTTTAAATATCATCTAAAAACTCACCTTTTCATCCAGGCGTTCCCTCCCTAAATGTTTCAAAAAGATGGCTTTGTTCGGGTTCACACCTTCACTTTGTTTATACTCATGATTTTATTTTCTATTTTATCACTGCTATTGTTTTTCTGATGTTTTTATTGGTTAGAGGTATTTGCCCTGATCTTTATCATGTTGTACAGCGCTTTGTGATTTATATCTGTGAAAGGCGCTATATAAATAAACTTTTACTTACTTACTTACTTACTTACATTTGGATCAGTTTTTAAGGCACGAACCCCCCAAAAATCAATTTAGTTGAATGTTTAAAATGAAGGACATCTTTAACACCAAATTATCTGATTTCTGCTAGACTTCTCGAGTGCTTTTAGCACGGCTGAAAAGGGAATTTTATTTGAGTAACTTGGAAAAATGACATGGGCATGTTGGAAACAGCTCCAGGCTGTCTCGAGTCTTACCTGAGTCACGGGAACTTTCTGCTTACGTAACTAACCCTTGTGGTCTGGTATGCTTGTTACTGTTCAGCCTAAATATGTTTCATAATTGTTGCGGACATCTGACACAAGGTTCTGGATGTTTCTATTTTTCTACCATTGAGAAAACCACTTGAATGATTTCCAAAGACTTTAAGCATTTAGCAAAGGTAAAAGCTAGTTTTAGGGGCTGTAAACATGCTACTAGATTTATTTATTTGACACACAAAATGTGATTTATGGTTGTGTTCACATCTTCTGATAGCAGCTGCAGTTCTTGCCCTTAAAGGTAAAAAAAAAAAAGTTTAATTTTTGTTGTTGACCAGATGGAAGACATCGATGCCATGTTCAGCGACCTGCTGGGGGAGATGGACCTCCTCACCCAAGTGAGTTCACTCTGCATGTTTTCATGGCTTTCAGACTTAAATTTTCCTTTTCATAATTTTTTCTTCTTGGTTTTATGATAAATTTGTGTTAACAGAACCTACATCCCCAGGAATCTACATATCAAGTTTGGACAAACGTTTTAATGGACCATTTTATATTTTCATATTGCTGACAACTTTTATGTTATTTTCAAACCTTGATGCATTTTTAATGACTTTTAATTTTTTGAAGTGATTGTCTTATTTAGAAAAAAGGCTGTAATGAAGACAGTTTAAGATTCAGGACGGTGAAGCAGTAGATGGCTGAGCTGGTTGAGCCTTCGGCTCTCAGAAACTGCGACCACTCCTCACCAAACATAATCTACTCTTTTCTTTCTGCAGAGTCTCGGAGAGGAAATACCACCTCCTGCACCTCTCCCCAACACCAAAAAAGAAGTCAGCTTCACCATGGACTTTGCTAACTTTAATGGTGACTTAGATTTTTCTTCTCATGCACTTAGTTTTGAAATGTCTTTCACAATATTTTGACACCTCAGCTAGACGACAGTTAACATCAAGAAACGTACTTAGATTCATAGAGGTCATTAATGTCCACCATTCTGTTGTTTTGCTTTTTATTTTTGGCCTCTCAGTATTTGAAATGTTGGAGGCCAAAGAGTGGCTGAAATAGGAGGTGAAACAACCCATTCATTTTTCAATCATCCATCCATTTATCCATCCATCAATTCACCCATGCTTCATCCATCCATCCAATCATACATCCGTCCATGGACGTAATTTGGGGGGGGGGGGGACATGTCCCCCCCACTTTTTCCAAAGTCAAGTTTTGACCCCTGCACTTTTTACCATCCAAAAACAATTTTACGCTATACTAAATTGACACTGGTTGAGCTCTAGGACCAAGCGGAAAACAACCGTTTTGTGTTGAAGCCTGTTTCCCATTAGAGCATACTGTAAAGGTCCCCCCCCCCCCCCCGCCCCATGTCCCCCCCACTTCTAAAGTGAAAATTACGTCCATGCATCCGTCCATCCATTTATCCATCCATGTACCCATCCATCTATGCCTCATCTATCATTAGTAAAATAAATAGTAAAATAGAAAGTGAGACCAAAACTTGTTCAAAAAGACATGAAAGAAAAATGAAACTGGATCAAATCTGTTTATTTTTAATTGTGTTGCAAACACAACTAATATTGAACTTTCTGTATGAGGGCCTAAAATGCAGAAATATTAATGGTCTTTTCAAATTATACAAAAATGATTACAGTTAAGGGCAGAGAATCAAACCAACAGATGGCCAATTTGAAAAACTAAATGTGATTCAAACAGAAAACTGAAAATAAACTCATTACTTAAGTTTTACAAGAGATTTGAGCAATCTAATTTCTAAACTGTAACTAAACCCACAGACCACGACAGTCTCGTCTTAACAGCAAAATATTTAAATGTTAATGTTTTATTGGTGATTCTTTACTGACAAAACTCTTTATCAGAGTCTCTACATGAGCTGGAGGACACTGACTTGGACGCGCTCATGGCTGACCTGGTAGCTGACCTCAGCGCCACAGAAGAGAAACTGACCGCAGAGATCCAAGGTCTGAAGGCGCCATCACCACCTCTGCCAGACCTACCGCCTCCACCCAGAGACCTGAGCTTCCCGCCGGCCCCCTACGACTCATCATCATCTTCGTCATCATCATCGTGTAGAGACAGCAGCAGCAGCCTTGTTAGCACATCGGCCACCTCCCCTCTGCCGCCTCCTCAAGCAGGAAAGCCATCAAAGGTAAATCAGCTCCAACTACATGAGGAATGAACTTTTTTCCTCAAAGGTTTATTAAAGATCACGTATTACACACATATTTGTTGCCCAAGACAAGTTTCCTTTTAGTGACATTATAGCTTATCTTACCTTACCTTTGAAATGAATGGTCAATAGATGTCATTTACATAAAATTAAGTAAAATAAATGAAATCCTGAAAAAGAAAACTAGGGGGACATGTCTTTACTCCAAACGTATAGTTTATGTTGTGGCCCAACAAGGTGGGCTTTTACATAATTGGGGGCTCGTCCAGGATATCTCTTGGATCATAAGGGACTGACTGCCATTTGGTGCAATCAAGGGGTGCACTACTACAGTCTGTCCATTTACTGTCAATTTGCTTTACTGACAAAAGATGAACAAAACATACCCAGCTGGGGTCTTGAAAATGACTCAGAAAGGCAGGAATGGATCAATAATATGAAATAGTTTCCGATACTGTCCCTGTAATCAAGTTTTAAGTAGTCTTTGTGAGCCTTTGAAGGGTGAGCTCATAGCAGGATTGTACGTTTGTTTCAGTCGCCCGAGACGTGTGAGGTGAAACAGTCAAAGGTCTGTCTGGAACAGATCAAACACGGCCGTGAGGAGACTGTAAGGGGAGGGTGGGGGGGGGGGGGGGGCAGTCAGACAGGCATTATTGCTTTAACAGGAAATGTGACCTCATCTAGCTGAGGTGAAGCGTGTGCAGAGGCAGAGAGAGGGTTGGCAACAAGTGGCTGTCTCACTGGGCTGTGTGTGAAAGAAAAGTAGTCATGCAAATTATTTAAGAGTTGCAAAGAAATTTAAAAATGTTTTATTTAACTATTTGTTATTTTAGATTTTAAAGTAGATAAACATTAATTAATTAATATAAATAAATATCCTGACCCAAAATATTGACAACAGATCTAAGTTTAACAGAGTCAAATATTCTGTGTTCACTGGAATCATGGATGTTTAAATGTAACCTATGACAACAACAATCCAAAAATAATAAAAATAAGGTGATAATAATGTTTGGTAAAAAAAAAATTACTTTTCATTTGATCATCTCCATAAATGTATTTATTTTGTTTCATAGTTTTTTCATTTAAGTTCAGTGCATGCTGAAGTAGCTCAAAGGTGAATCAGGGTATGGTTTATCTATAGACGGTGCAACTTTAGTACTAAAAGACGACTCAGTTGTCTCCTTACTGTGTTGTTTGTTTTGTTTAGGAGGACATAGAAGCACAGATGAAAGCTGACAAAATCAAACTTGCACTTGAGAAGCTTAAAGAAGCCAAGGTGAAAAAGGTAAGTCAAGTTTTATCTAGCCACCATCCTAACGCCCTTTCTCTGTTTGAACATGACATGAAAGTGTATATGGTACATGTGGCTTATAATTATTATTGTCATAAATAATTCTGATATTACTCCTGCTTAAAAATGTGTTTACATGCAACAGGACTGATGAGCTAAAAGCTAATTCTAGTGCTGTGCTAAAACTAGCTATTAGCCTATCAATCATGAGGATGTAAACACTAGTTTTCCTAATCAAATCTGTAAGATGGCCATTATTTACAGGTTTTACACAGAAACAGGCTTGCACATCCCTTTAAGATTATATTTAAATTAATACATAAAAATCTTCTATTACAAGAGTCTTTTATGGGTGTTTCCATGCAGTATTGTTACTGTAAAACTGCCTTGCTTTGTCTAATATAGCACAAACCTGTGGAAGTGAGAGTTTGTTGTCTTCTTGCTCAGGAGTTGCAGAATTACCGGCTGTGGTTAGAGCAAGTGGTCAGTGACCCTCAACCTTCAGATGAATCAGCTGGTTTCTGAAGATAGATGAATGCACACAAATGTAGAAGCAAGAACCATTCTGAAACCAGAAATGGTTTATTTGACCTCAAGTCAAAACAGGTTTTTGTGGTACACAAAAAGCCTGAATGAAACCGATCAATCAAAGACACTCTGAAATAAAACTCAGGGAGCTGGTTTTGTAAAAAGCTGGACTGGTTTCCACAGCTGGACTGGTTTCCACGTGATACAAGGATAAAGGTTCTGCTTCAGAACAGAAATAGACCTCAGATGACATTAAAGTCCACTCGGACACCTGAGAATCACCCTGATGGTAAAGCAGAAACGGTCATTAAGTGTGCACAACCAGTTATTAAACTGGCTGGATCTGGACTCTGACACTCTGGAGCCCTGCGGTCCAGTTTATCACAGAAATCATCCATAACACTGAGAGCTGGAGTGGGAGATGAGTTATTAAACCAGGAAATGTAACATCTCACATCTTTATTCAATGAACTTGAACAGAAACTGTTTCTCATTATGGTGCAGGAGTCCTTCCCATTCATTTCCCAACTGCAGTCAGAGAACAGATATTTGTCCCTGCAATGTGTCAAAAGCTGCAGTGAAACAAGGACACAGCTTCCCTTTGTGTCCTTCCCTGCTGAGTATTAAAATTCAGTAAATCAACCAACAAGAGAGTATATACGAGACCCCTGGTGAGTGTTTTTATGGAAGCATTGAATTAAAAATAGTTTTTTATGTAAATGGTCACAATGTGACACGCTTGAAGTAGAGCATCAGTTAATAACACGTGCAATAAAACTTAATCGTCTTGTTAGTTTGATGAAAAAATCAAAAAGTAGCCAGGCAATCTAGCTCTGTACCACACCTCTAAGAGGAAAAGGAACATGGTTTTATTATTGTTGTGTCCTCGGGCAAGACACTTAACTCGCCTTGCCTGCTGGTGGTGGTCGGAGGGACCGGTGGCGCCAGTGTTCGCCAGGCCTCGCCTCTGTCAGTGCGCCCCAAGGCAGCTGTAGCTACATCGTAGCTCATCCCCACCAGCATGAACAGTGTTGGGAGTAACGCTGTACAAAAGTAATTAATTACTGTAATGCATTGCTTTTTGCTGTAATGTGGTAATGTAAGGCATTACAGGGAAAGAAAATGGTAATATTTACTCGGTACAATTGTCAGTAACGCAGTAATTACAATGCATTTTTAAACCCAGAATCAAGCTGCGTTTCTTAAAAATTCAAATTGCGGGAAACCCAAAAAAAGTTCCACTATCTGCATATATTACGTCATTTATGGACTCAGCTTTGCAGACAAGCGAGGACGCCGTGGTAACGGCTCAAATCCAGCTGCATCCTGCGCGCGGCCGCTGTAACATTCACAAAATCGCTCCACTAAAACAAAATAATTCACCTGCGATCATTCATATCAGCGCATGTTCTCTGGTATTCTGTACTTTTCTGACGTGCTTTGCCTCAGCTGAGTTCATAATCTGTGCTCCGGTGATTTCAACTCATTGCTGCTGGAGCGCCGCACATGTGAAGATCCCTTTGGCTGAATAGTTAGAAAGTAGGAAATCTAGGAAACGGGTTTTCTGGAAGACGGAGAGAACATGCAACGTGCAGGACGGTTAGAGAGAGAAAGGGCAGGAAATTATTCAAATAAAATCAAGAAAACAAAACAAAGTGCTTGAAAAGAAAAAATGTAGGTAGATTTATTCCCAATACTCATTTTTACCAGTGAAAAGCAATAATATAAGCATTTAATATTTATACATGTGATAGAATCAGATCACCCCAGAAGTCAGTCCCACATCCAGGGCCGTATCAAGGCATTTGAGGACCAAGGCAAATAGGCTTGGAGCCCCCACCACCTCACTCGTCGCTCAGTTAACCTAAGATGGCAGCGTGCTGAGAGTACAGTTTGTTGTTGCATTTATTACATAAACAATCCTTCTAAAGAACTGTTTTTAACAGCAATCCTAGCTCAGACACCACATCACCTTCCACCGGATGTGTCATGAGTTCACCAGGCATCAGATTACAACACTCATACTGAAGTTGTTTTGTTGAAAGTAACTTAGAGTAATGCAAAAGTAGTGTAATGCCTTACATTTTAAAATCAGTAATATTGTAATGTAATGAATTACTTTAAAATGAGGGTAACAAGTAATAAATAATGCATTACAGTTTTGAAGTAACTTGCCCAACACTGAGCATGAATGTGGGTGTGAATGGATGAATGACTGATAGTGTTGTGAAGCGCCTTGGGGGGTTATTGAATCCTAAGAAGGAGCTATACAAATACAGTCCATTTACCATTATTGGGAACATTTTCATGCAAAACCCTGTGTTAGCAGTAATAAAAAAGTACTGTTAAATTAAATTAAATTAAAATAAACAGAACTGAACTTTTCGCACAACATGACCTTACCAAGTAACATACAAAAGGGTCCATTTTCACCTATTGATGATCAACACAATAACCTTTCATCTACAGAAATAAATCCACTTTCTGTGTGGCCTTCTAAATCCAGAAGGTTCTGCTCAGCGCGCGTTGACATCCCATGAAGACAAAACATTCAAATAGACACTCTGTCCAAAGGTCCTGCACTCTCTGCCGAGAAGCCAGACAACATTCTTCACTCTGAACAAGTGAAGACACCATGATTTTACAACTCATAAGCTGACAATAATCACATGTGATGAATGAACAAGATGTTTAAATGAAATGTTTGAATAATCTGTGCTTAAATCAATGAATCTGAAATGAATATTGTTCTTACAATGATCCATTTATTTCACTAATCAGTATGTGTTGGATTTAACAATACATACATGTTACAGTAAGACATTACATTACCATACCATATTTATTTATAAAGCACCATTTCAAAATAGCATGGCAGCTAACCAAAGTGTTGTACATAAAAAAGCCAAATGCTTGAACAAGAAACACAATAAGAACAGGCAAAATACATAAGAACAAAGCATAAATCGTCGGAGATCAAAATCACTACTAAAAACAATAAAATAGGATAGCAGTTAACTGCACTATAAAAAATAAAATAATGCGAGGAATGATAAAAACGTTTGAAATGGCACAACTAAACATTCAAAGATCAATCAGATTGATCTTTCATATTTATATGGAATCATCACATCTTATTGGTCATAATTAATATGTTTAATTGCTACACAAGTACATATTTTAAATGTACAATTATAGTTTTTTTTTTCAATAACACCAAGTCTCCTTGAACATTAATAACAGGTCTAATTTGAACTAAATGAAGTGTTTTAGTAAAACAAGAAGAAGAAAAAGGCAGCATCCATATATTCCATATGTGGAAGGAGAGTCAAGGAAAGGTGACAAAAACAAAAATGGCCTTTCAGCCGACCTGGAAGCAGCTGACGGGATTCAATCAGACCTAAATCTCTGAAATAACACAATCAAATAATGCTAGTCGTTGTGATTGTAATTGTGATTAGTTGAACTTTTTTTCTGACAGCTGGTGGTGAAAGTGCTGATGAATGACGGCAGCTCCAAGACTCTGATGGTGGACGAGAGACAAACGGTTCGAGAAGTTCTCGACAACCTGTTTGAGAAGACGCACTGCGACGCTAACGTGGACTGGAGTCTGTGCGAGACGAACTACGAACTTCAGCTTGGTGAGCCACACTGTACATCCTCAGAAATAAATTAAATGGTCTTTAAAATACTTAAACTTGTCTATCTGACCCCGTTCAATGAGACAAACTGGTAATGCTTCAGCATATACATACATTTCCTAAGTCCCTCCACAGGCTTCTAGCTGCAAAACAAATACTTCACATGAACCTGGAGTGTTGACTAACTGAGTCAGTCAACGAGAGTGTGCCCCAGTTCCCAGCATGCACTATGGGGTGACACACTGTTGTGCCTGTCTAGCCTGGCAAGCCGTCCTGTTCATGTGAATATATAGTCTGGCCACGGCCGATTGACAGCTCTCAGTCATGGGGCGGGATCTACAGTTGTCTTTCAAACTGTCTCCACATGCTATTGGATACCAAACAACATGACGCACTCGCTGCTACAGATGTCAGTCAACGATGCAGACCACCACCCTCCATCAAAGAAGATGCAGTTACATCCCTTTTCCAAATAAACGTGTTCTTGACTCAAAGAAAATCCCAAGTCAGAGTAGTTCAAAGTTGATGCCCAAGCCATTTCAAATGAGCCATCTCCATCTTTGTTTGATCAGTAACATCCTGCCCACCAACAGAGTGTTGTGATTGGACATCCACAGAGCCGTTGCCATCATAGTTTTGCTCAGTTACCATAACATCCCGCCCATCTGGCTGATAGAGGGCTTTGATTGGCCCACTATGGATGTCTGTCAATGAGAAGTTTGCCATACATGATGGAAGAACAACATAAAACACGTGTCAAAAACAAAAAAATGATAGGTTTTCTAAATAAATGTGCTGTGATTCTCCAGGGCTGCGAAGTTCCAATGGAGCGTTGCTAGACCGTCAATTTTGCTTCAGCAAATGACGGTCTAGCTTCTAGGCTAGCGCCTTCCCCTTTGCACACCCACCTAGCTCTAATGCTAAGTCGAGCTGCATTGAATTAACGTCAGTCTGAAAACTGTGCAAGAGAAGGGAGCAGGGCAGGGGCGAGAGCCAGAGATGTTTGAATTTCTCCTGGAGGACATCGCTCTACGTACCCCAGCTTTAACCACATCCTAACAGAATGTTCCGGTTCTCCAATATCTGATCTGGTAACAGACCATAAGTTGTATGTTTTTCACATTCATTATGTGCTAAAGTCACCCTGACGAGGATTTGAACTTCACCATACAAAAGCGCCAATTTTGTTTCACGAGAACGCGTTAACGTGTGTTTAGTGTCTTCAGTGTGATTTTAGATGGATATAAAAGAATCATCAATCTTATGATTGCCTGTATTTTTCTTCTTTAGTTTCTCACACAAACAGTGTAGACAGGTGGCTTTAATTTGCTGCGTTGGACTTTGTCAGTCATCCTTCCAGGCATCCAGAAATAAAACCTGTATGATCTCAATCCTTCGTCTGAGCTTCCTGAGCTATATTTACTCTAGCTGCCGGACCTCCCCACCAGCCAGCTCTCCGTGATTCATATCTGCCAGATTCAAGAGCTGAACGCTAGTCCAGGATAAAAGTTGATTATTGTTTCAAATCTCAAAGATTTTCAAAGTAGTTCAGGCAAATGTTATGTTATTAACCTTTACATTGCTATTAGTTTCATATTCACGTTATCATAAATACTCATAATAATCATAAATACTACATTTTTGTGCTCAGAGTTTCTCACACTGCACCAGAAGGGCTAATTGTTCTTCATAAGGAGCATAACTGATTATGTAAAGACAAATGATTGATTGTTTACATTTTTCATCATGGAAAACTCATCTGAGCGGATTTATTACGACTCAGCTGACGGTGAGAATGAGTTTTCTGTTCAAAAGCAACAGACGATGATGTGTTCCATCGCTGCCAGTCAACATTTATGCCTAGTTTAGCTGTCTGACTCATAAGTTGTTATTTCTAGAACTGTCCACGCATAAATTATGTTTGCTGATGGTCTGACTCATTATCACAAGGAGTGGATATGGTCTCGTCACCTCCGACCGCTCAACGTGACAGCATCGACGTTTAGAAACAAACTGTTGTCAACTACCCGACTGTGCTACCAGCTTTCCCAAGCTTTAATCTTTCATCAAGAAAGAGTCGAGGCGGGTCTCGCCCAATAAACACTCGCAGCGACGTGTCTTCAAACAAAACCTTAGCTTTAAAATCATCACATGTGCTCGCCACGCGTGCACAGCTGAGCTGCAGTTCAAAGGGATTTGTCCTCCTCACAGTTCATTTCAGCTGGTAACAGAACTTTTTAATAGCCTGACTGTACTCTGGAACCCTGGTAGCACTTTATATAATGTCGACTTTTTCCTCCGCTGGTAAGCAGCAATTGGAAAACACGGTAAAACTGCATTTAAATGCCCGCAGTGTGAGGGGGGTCTGAAAAAACTGGAGAAGTGGGTTTTTGATGTGTCTTTTAAGGTCTGATCAGCCAGCATGCACAGGTGGGCTGCGTATGGAGAATATGTGGGCAAACAGTATGAGTCTCTCTACAGGTTTTGTCTGCAGTTTCAGTGGTGTTCCCACATAGTTTTGCCCACATAAGGTGCTTTTCCACTGTTGGAACTTTGGGGTTAATTTATCGGAACTTAGTTGCGTGCAGCTTGAGTGGGCCGGCCGAACGGCCGTTTTCTGGGCTACTTTCAGGAGCTTTCTATAGCGCCTGAGCAGGGGAAGGAATGGCCCAGCGGAGGAGCTGAACGGAACTTTTGGTTAACTTGTGTGGACTGGTTGTAACTCAGTACGGCATTATCAGATGTTCAAAACAACCGGTGTCGGTACAAGATCTGCTCGGGTGCAAGATCGGCTCGGGGTCCGTCGACTTCCGATGACGTCTAAGTAGTCGATTGGCTGAACATGAACCTTACGGAATTACGTAATCACGTTACGATGGTCCAGGCAAATCTTTCTGTTGGAAAGATGGACAACTTTTACAAAGAAATCCATCATTACCTCTTTGAAAATACACTTTTAGCACAGAGCTGCATGTATATTAGGGCTGAACGATTAACTGCATGTGCAATTAAATTGCGATGTGACAAAAGGAGATTTTCTAATCGCAAAGGCTGCAATTTGGCAGCGAGTGGTTAGCACAACGCTAATATACATGGAAAAACCCATAGGAATGCTAATGCTAATATCACCGATTACATTCTTACAAATTATGAATTAGAAACGTGCCAAATGATTACATTTGGAGTCTAATAGAAAGTAAAACTACCATCAATCAAATAAGTACAGACAGGTATTTTAGTAAAGCCAGAAAACTTTTAACTCCAGAGTTTTGGCTAGCAGCTATGAGCGTACCTGAACTACGCATGGACAAGACGTCAAAAACTCTAAACACAAATACTTCAATAAACGGGACACACTTCTTTCCTGCAAATACAATTTCACAGGTGTTGCTAATACCTATGATCCTTCGAGGGATGTGCTCGAAGAGGAGTTCAACATTATGAATACAACATAGTGTTTTATTTTACAAATACCATTAGAAACACAAACTTATGTCTTAAGAAACATTATTTTAATAATGAAACAGCTAAATCCTTTCCAACAGTATAGATGTGTAGTGTATTTTGTCCGAGTGGGTTTGCCGTACTTTGACGTCATCGGCAGCCGAAGGACCCCGAGCCGATCTTGTACCGACACCATGACCGACACCGGCATTAGTAAAATTAAAAGAGTTGCTTTGGAAGCAGAATGGAAGCAAAAAACAGTCACCGATCGTGCTGCTTTACAATTACCATTACTAAACTCTCGATACCGGGAAACACGGCAGAATTCCCTCACACCAACATAATCCACGGGGTTTTGTTGTCTCAGAGCGCCGTAAAAAACTGAGCGTCTTCTGGTCATTGAACGCCACATTTTGTATCATGCAGCTATTCTCAGAATAGATTCACGTATTATATACTTCAACAGAATAAAACTTGTAAACGTATTAATGTTACTGTTGACGCTTTTAGGCACTGATCAGGTTTGACATCACTCACTGCCGAAGCATTCTCGATAGGGTGATGTCTGTGCAAAGTCCTGAAAGGGCTGAATTTGAGTGGAGACACAACAACCGAGAGGACCGGGGCATCTCCCGCTTATCTAAGATTAGGAATAATTCGAAGCTCTGTGGATTAAGATGAAAAACAATCTAGATTACACCAGTTTTATTTTAATTCAGTCTGGGTTCATTTAAAGGTATTTTTCACAACCATAAATAATCTGTAGCTGTAGTTTTGATTTGATTTAGCTTTCTCTCTGCAGAGCGGACGTTTGAGGACCATGAAAACATGGTGGAGCCTCTGTTGGCGTGGACGAGGGACAGTGAAAACAAAGTCCTCTTTCAAGAGAGAAGAGATAAATTTGAGGTCTTCAAAAACCCACAGGTTGGTCTTCACACGATGTCCACACAAACGTCCACCTCTTTAAACAGATCAGCTCAGATACTGAGCAATCAGACATCCTGGCCTGAATCTGATCTGGTGCTTTTCTTGTTGGACGTAAGAGACGTCTCTCCTCCTCAGTGCAGGCTGACCCTTTAAATTATTGTTGTTGCTGTAGTCTATCAGACCAATCTGACATGTTTGCTGTTATAATGAAACAATCTCTGAGTATTTAATGGTTTCAGTCTGTTGGCAGCAACAAATAGAGCACAGAGGTACTCCATCACTTCCTCCAACAAAAGACAGATATGTTCTCCCTTTTCTTGCAAAGCGTCTTTATTCATTTACGTCTAACGTTTGAAAAAAGCTTCTAAACCGATTTATCTAAGGGATGAAAACAGGGTCAGAATCAAATCAAGAAAAACTAAATAAGTAAAAGGAGGTTTTTCAGTATTTAGAAAGGATGTGATTAAATAAAAACAATCTGCCAACGCAGAGCGATCGTAGAATCATCACATTATTTTTATTAGAAAACTTAAGAACACGTTTCCACCCGGACTTATGTAGATGTGGCACACTGAGCCGGATCACTCTAGTGTGTGCTTTAAAGAGACGGACGTGCTTCCTGGTAACGATGTTTAGCTTTAGTCAGTTAATATGACTTAACAGTGAGTTGATGCTTTTCATAGTGAATAGGTTAATTGTCAGCATTAATAGCTCATTAGCCTGTGCCAGCTAATTATTAGTTACAGCAATGTTTCCTAAGTTATTGTTTTTAAAGGGATACTTTGCAGTTTGGCTTGCTTTTAGCACCCCCTAGTGTCTGTTTAGTAAAACCAAAAGTGAAACTTATCTCCTCGCTGTGCGTTCATCTTTTAAACACCTTAATCTAACAGCTGAAATGTCTCCTCAGCCTTCATTAGTAAGTGGTTCATCTAAACATGCTGGAAACAGACTCCAGTACCAGGCACGTCAGCTCCATTTTATTAAGTCCAGCAGGGACTGGACCGGCACTCTGAAGTTGCAAGTGCGATATCCCGGCCACAGAGAGCGGTGGGAGTCTGAGGCCTAGTCCACACGTAGCCGGGGTTTTTTTTTTAAACGAATATCCGCCCCTCCAAAAACTTGCATCCACACCACCTCGTTTAAAAAAAACTCTGTCCACACGTACCCGGATAAATACGTTGTTACGGACATGCCAGACCTGTAGGTGGCAGTACTTCCCCTGTTCTTAACCTCGTCCTTCGTCTGTGGTCTTCCGCAAGGAGCAGTAATTCTGCTTGCAATAACAAACAAGCAAAAAGCGCTTGGACAATTGATAAAGCGAGCGCAGCTCTGAGGGCATCCATGCTGTTGGCTAGTGTAAACACAGGTCGCACACGTGATGTCAGCATTTTTTTGTCGCGGAAAGTGACGTTGCGGACCTTAAAACTCCGGTTTTGTCTGTCCACACGCAGACACCCAAAATGGAGAAAACGCAGATCTTCACTTTGGCCGGAGTTTTTAAAAAGATCCGTTTTCGTGTGAAAAAACTCCGTTTTCGTGTGGATGACAGGCCAAAACGTAGAAAAATATCTACATTTTGGCAGATCCCCGGCTACGTGTGGACAGGGCCTGAGTGGCATTTCATTAACTCTGTAAAGGGTTATTTTAGCACATACTGGCTTGAGAAAATGGTTCTAAAATAAGAAAAATTTGCATACTATCCCTTTAATACAGGAAAATAACTTGGTTGCATTGTTCAGTCACAAATTAAAAGGAATTGTGATAAATTTGCTATTTTACAATTTAAGTGAGAGTATTTTAGCCTGTTTAAGGACAGTCCAGGTTCATGAGACAATTCTCTGCTACTAAGACAAGAAATGTAAGCTCATTGTGGGCGATGGTGGCACAGGAGTTAAGTGCTCGCCCCGTAATCGGAAGGTTGCAGGTTCGAGCCCCGCTCAGTATGTCGCTGTCGTTGTGTCCTTGGGCAAGACACTCAACCCACCTTGCCTGCTGGTGGCGGTCGGAGGGGCCGGTGGCGCCAGTGCTCGGCAGCCTCGCCTCTGTCAGTGTGCCCCAGAGCAGCTGTGGCTACATTGTAGCTCATCACCACCAGTGTGTGAATGTGTGTGTGAATGGGTGAATGACTGATTGTGTTGTAAAGCGCCTTGGGGGGTTCCAGGACTCTAGAAGGTGCTATATCAAATACAGGCCATTTACCATTTACCATTGTCTGTAAATTAGATTCAGCTGGAGCCATTTTTTAAGTTTGATTAGGTCTAGCCGCCATCTTGGATTGGGTTGACTCCAAAAGTTAATTGGTTGTAGAAAAACATCCTGTAATTAAATTTTGGTGGTTCATGAGATATTTTAATTACATTCAGACAAACATCACTCATCTTTATTTCTTTATAAAACTAATAAAAATAACTAAATTTATGGTAACGTGTAGAGCTGCACAACCCAGTATTGCCATAAGATTAGGCATCTTCATTTCTTTAAAGTATTTTAAAGTAAAATAATGTATTCTTGATTATTCTGGCAGAATTTTTATCTCTGGAAAAAGGACAAGAAAACGCTCAAAGACATGAAAGACAAAGATAAGGAACTGCTGATAAAGGTATGATGGTTTTCCCACATCTCTTACATATTCCCCTTACACTCTTCTCACCTGGATTTTTACTCTTATAGGAGAACTTCTGTGGGCCCTCCATCATCGTTCCCGATCTGGAGGGGGTGCTATATCTGAAAGAGGATGGGAAGAAGTCGTGGAAGCAGCGACTCTTTCAGCTCAGGGCTTCAGGAATTTATTACGTTCCCAAAGGGAAGACCAAGGTTGGAAGAGATGGTGTATTTCAGACAACAGCCTTTTTTTACACTGAATACATACTAAACAATGAAATTCCAGCAAAACTGCAGATATTCTGAAACCACGATAACACACTTTGGTCACCTGTTAGCGTTTTTGTGGTCCTTGTGTAATATTTCTGCTTAATAGAGGGAGGCTTAAAGGGATATTTCACTCATTTTTAAGTAAGGTTCTATCAGTAATTTCTCTATAATAAGAACTCCCTGTCTTCAGGTCATGTCACTCAAAGCCTGCAGAGTCTCTAGAAACAGGAAGTAGTCCTCTGACCAGATCAAAACTCACGGCTAGTTAGATCGGTAACAAACTAGCTTCCAGTGTTTAAAACAACTCGTGCATTGGGATGCTTGATCACATGCACTGGTTTGACTTTTCTGAACATGACTTGCTTTAATTACGGGAAATTTTAGGAAAGGAGGAAATGGGAGTTGAACCGGCTGATCAGGACGGGGCAGGGTTAGGGTTGGGGTTAAGAGGGAGTTAAGCCAAAAAGCAAAGCTCTCCGTTTAGCGGTCGATCTTCATACCAATCCTCACAGATGGTCATGAGCTTTGGGTGATGACCTAAAGAAGATCGTGAATACAAGCAGCCAAAATGGGATGGGCCCAGCCTAAGAGATAGGGTGAGGAGCTTGGACACCTGGTACTCAGAAGAACTGCCGGTCCTCTGTGCCAAGAAAAGCCAGCGAGATGTGACCTGGAGACCTCACACAGGTAGTGTTTTGGGTGTGTTTCCAGCTGGAGGCACCGGGCAACCCAGGAGATGCTGGAGGGATCATACTGTATCTCCATATTGACAAGGGAACGCCTTGCGGTCTCACCGCTGGAAGATTGTTTCGGAGAGGATGGTTTTTGTTGTTACACTGGGGCTGACACTCCAGTGACTCAGACCCAAACTGAAATTTAGTCTATGCTGATCTGGCTTTGAGTTACATCACCTGTAGGTAGGGTCCTGATAGGGTCCCACTGTAGATAAACAATCAGAAGACATCTTGTATTTCCTGACTGTACTGAACTTCCGTACCCTCAGAGAATCAGCTTCTCAACAGCTTGAAATGAAAACTTCTTTTACTCTGTTTGCAGTCGTCTCGTGACCTCGTCTGCTTCGTCCAGTTTGACAACGTGAACGTTTACTTTGGGAAAGATGTTAAGAACCGCTACAAGGCTCCAACTGACTTCTGCTTTGTTCTAAAAGTAAGTCGGCCGCTTCGAGTTAACACTCTTTGTCACTGTGGATCTGATATAAACACGTCCACAGACACTCAGAAGAAGTTCCAGAGTTTTAATATATATAATAACTATATCAGGCTGCACAGCTGCTCCATTTTCTCGGAAAATGAAACGGAACAAAAAGATGAATTTGAAGAAGTGAAAGGAGACATTTACATCCATTTTAGCTTAAAGTGGTGAGTTGAAATGACCCGAATGACTTCTGCAAAGCACTTCCTTCTATTATTTAAACAACATCACCAAGTGAGTTAAATACAGGCTGGTGATCATGAGAACGTTTGTGAAAGTCTCTATTGGAGGACAAGAGCCAATACCAGTAAGAATGCAGAAAGTTACAATTTTTTAACCACTGCTTTCAAAAATGTAAACCTCAAAGAACTGCTTATTTCAGAGATTTTTGATGCAGTCCGATATCCGATAGGGGTTGTATGAACTAGTCAACTAGTCAACTTCACTGCTCTGTCGTGACTTTTTATGCCTTTCATCGACTAGTCGCTGTCACGTGATAATGACCGACAAGAAGCTGTCCTCGGAAAAGACAGCAGGTGACGAGCCCCTGCGCGTTGGGAGGCGACGCGCTGTGCCAGAGCGTCGGTATCTGACGCCCGCCGTAAAACGGACATTTGACCAAATTGTGACCTTTACCCTCTTGCAACTTAACCTTCCCCTCACCCCCACCCTTACCTTAACCAGCTTGCGCATACAAAGCTCTGATTGTTGACGCACTCCAGACATCTGCGTCCTGAGCACAGCCACAGTAACATTATCAAATCAGGTTTCGTTTCGTTTTATTGAGATCCTCATTAGCTTCTGCCTAAGTTCAGATGCTAGTCTTCCTGGGGTCTCATACATTTTCATACAATTGTTTACATGAGATAATACCCTATACACACAAACACACACACATTCACACACACACATCCCCAATTCCCATAATACCAGTAGCTCAAGATGAAATCACATATCTAGAACAAAATTACATATATAAACTAATATCGGGAAAGGAGTTAATCACACCAATAAAGATTGAAAATAAAATATAACAGAATGGTGACATCATGTCCATTGTTTCGTATCATAGTTCATCGATATCCAGTATTCGACCTCAAACACAGATTCTCAATCCTTCGTTGCAGAGTTCATAGTCACTATACAATTAAATGTGTAAACAAAAAAAAATTCAGTTTCTTATGAAAAGAAATGTTATTACTTTCAAAAATTAAAAATCTAGGTAATGCATTCCATGCAAGCATAGCTTTATAGTGAAAAGATCGTTGAATTTGATTTGTTCTACTGCGTGGTAAAACACATTTCATCTCATTTATCTGTCGTGTATTATAAGTATGATTATCTGAAAAAAACAATAATTTGCTATGTATAATTTTTGGTGTTTTTGTAATTATTATTTTCCTCACAGTTGTTACCAAGAAATACTTCAATCTACTCTTCACATCAAACCAAGCAAGTTTTTCATGCATGGTTCCCACATTTGTTCTGTAAGGGCAGCCTAAAACAATACGAGCAGCTTTATTTTGTGCTACTTGTAGCTTATGCAAATTATTTTCACTTGTACTGGACCAAATAATGGATGCTTGATCTACACAAGAAAGCACTAATGATTGAACAAGGCATTTAAGTAAATATTGTGGTATAAATTTGCAACAAAATTTAATTATGCCCATACCTCTCCCCATTTTGCGTAAAACATAATTAATCTGGCTTGTCCATGATAATTTACAATCAACTATTACTCCTAGTAATTTTACTTCTTCTAGTTGTTCTATTATGTTGTTACTCAGGGTTAAATGTAACTTTGGCATCGTCTGTAAAGTATGTTTGGAGCCAACTACCATGCATTTAATTTTTCCTGCATTAATCACTAATTTGTTGGCAGTTATCCACTGCTCGACTGTTCTTAACTCTTCATTTAATATGTCATTCAATGCACTCTCCGCATGTGCTGAAGCTAAAACCTTAATATCATCTGCATATACTGCTGTAGTTGCATGTTGCAGCACCCACGGAAAATCATTCAAAAAAATAGAAAACAAAAGTGGTCCCAAACAACTTCCCTGTGGAACACCCCGCAGCCTTCTTTTGTCGCCACCTCAAAAACTAATTTAACACGCGATCGTTCATGTCGGCTCATTTACTTTTATGTTTTCTGTCTTTTATTCTTTTATTTGTGCCTGATGCGTTTCGCTGCTGTGGAGCGGGGCGCATCACCTGTTTCGTCCTCCGGTGACGCACCTCACCGGTGCGGCCAGCGCGCACTACACTGTTTTTGCGGTCAGTAGATCTTTTAGAACTGCAGTTCAAAAGTAACTCATAAGGTGAATATATATGAAGCCAGGTAGCAGTTTCTCTTTAGGATTGAGAGGAGATGCAGGAAGATAATAAACAGGCAGGACAGAAAAATAGTCAAATAAAAACAAGTTAGTTTTTGTACCTGGTGGTTGCAACAAACAGACACCATTGAAGGTAATCAGAAGTTAGGAACAGAAAATGAAATAATAATTTTAATGTTTAGAGCAGCAGGAACTCTGAGAGGCTGCAGGCACATCAGTGAGTTTGCGGCCGCTGCGCAGGGGGAGGGGGGAGAGGGCTGAAGCAGGGGGAGAGGGCTGAAGCAGGGGGACGGGGGAGAGGAATGAAGCAGGGGGAGGGGGGAGAGGGCTGAAGCAGGGGGAGGGGGAGAGGGGTGAAGCAGGGGGAGGGGGGAGAGGGCTGAAGCGGGGGGAGGGGGGAGAGGGCTGAAGCGGGGGGAGGGGGGAGAGGGCTGAAGCGGAGCAGTAAAGATGCAGAAACTACCGTTGTTAAGAGATGTTTAGCTTAGAAAATGTGGGTGCAGTTTTAATTGTCAAAAACTCCAGCGAACCAACCGCTTCAGGTGTATGACGTCATCAATGACTTGTCAAAGTCGACTCGATTTTCATTACTTGACTGTCGACTTTAAAAATAATTAAGTCATGCAGCCCTTAATCTCCGATACATCGTTTTTGGGCCGATATCGAATTAATTTCTACACTGATCGGAACGGGACATCTCTACCAAATATTACTGTAAATTAATTCAGAAAGATGTTGAGGTCATTCCTGTACTGCCCTCTACTGGCTCCCTATAATGTTACAATAAATTATATTTTCTTTACATGTAATCCGATACCAGTGCAATGTCCAGCAATGGTCAGTTTTCACCTACAGATTGACCTGCATGCCACCGGTCATCTGCAGACATAAAGTCCATTCTCTAAAGTGGATTTTACATCCTAGCTTCCAACAAACCCAGAAGGATGCTGCAGCCTTGTTGACATTTCAGGAGGAACAAGATGTCAGGCTGTGTTCCCAAACAAAGCCTTCTTTTGATAACACCGCAGGATTGCTCACTGTCTGAATGAAGTGACTATTTTCAGCTCACATGAGCTAATCAGTCGTGAAATGAAATGAACAGTAATGGTTGACGAATAATAATATTGTCTTGATTAATCTGTGCTTAAATTAATAAGGTTGATTAATCTGTGTTTAAATTAATAAGGTTGATTAATCTGTGCTTGAATTACTGAAGTTTGAAATGAAAATTATTATTACATTGAAAGATTATATATATGATGATCAGTAATGTTTGATATGATAAGTGAATCAATATCTGCACTCAGACACAAGGTTCGTTAGAGATAAAATTAAAGTTAAGTTAAACGTCATGACACATAGATATTTTCTTAGCCACAAACCAGAGCATCCTGTATCTGAAAGAAGGCGTGATGTTCTGAGGTTTGCTTGTTAACACCCCTTAACATGGCACGTCCCGGTTGGCCAAGAAATCACAATATGAGAATATTAAAACAGAGCTCACTAGACGGTGAGTCAGTTCTAGAGAAAGCTACGGACAGGCCGTCTGGAGCGAATCCTCTTTAACCCAGAGCATCTTTGACAAGCGATCAAAAACCTGTTACACGCTGAAGATGACGCAGCAAACGGTTCCTTCAGCCATTCAGAAACAGCTGTTCTAGACGCAAACAGTTTCATCTGTTGTGATCCGGGAGACGACTCTGGACCGACCTGGTCGTACTGCGGTCTTTGCTACGAACCTCGGTACCTTGGGGTCACCCGACACCCCCCCCCACCCCCCCCCCCCACCCCCCCGCCGACATCTCGGCTCTGAAAGGGAGTCTCCTTAGGGGTACGTAGAACACAGCCAGATTGCGTCTGATGCCGTTTTGATAAGAACCAAGTTCATAGTTTAATGCAAACCATGTTCTTTTCACACCCAGAACTCAGTTCTTCTCATCGACATATATACTGGACAATTCATTTGCATAAGCTCCAATAGCATGTTTTTTAGGTTAAATGGGAGGTGGCCATCACCACCGTTTTGACCGTGTCACAGGTTCCGTCAAGCCCAGACTGTTCCACAAAAGGGAAGAGAGGTGGAGCTGAGGGTGGGGCTGTAAGGCTGGGATCAACTGACGACACCCGGTCGAACTAGCTACAAGCTAACCTGAAGCTAACCCAAAGCTAACGTGGAGGTGGGAGCTAAGCTAACGGAGGTAGCAACCTAGCTACAACCGGAGTTAACTGTGCACAACACCTGAGCTTCTGAGTCAGAGATACACCAGGCTGACCGCTGGGTAAAACCGGGTGGAACACAGAGGTCTCCGAGACCTCCACAAGCCGGCAGCCGCACAGCAGACAAGCACCGCTGCGATCTGAGATGTGCAGAGCTGCCGCTGGGGAGAACCGGGTGGAAAGGTTTCCATCCCAGAGCTTCACAAGCCGGCAGCCCGCGCAGCAGATAGGAGCTGCGATCAGACAGAGATGCACCGAGCTGCGGGGAGGGGAGAACTGGTGGAAAACATAGGTCTCCCGAGAGCTCCACAAGCCGATAGTGGGAACCCAGCTCCACCAACATGTTATATTTCAACCCATTTTCTAAAGTGCAGCATTATGTTAAATGCACTGGGTTTTACCCTATTACATTTAAATTTCATGGTTAAACAGTACATGTTAAAATCTAAGCTCAGCTCGGCAGTGACCTAAAATACATAAATATAATTTTACTTAACGAAAAAAATGAAGTGGAGACTCCTTGGATGCTCTATTAGTGCAATTAATGCCCAGCAAGTCATTTTGTCCAACAATTGCACAAAAAATATCCAAAAAAAGAACGCACAAACACAGAGATTCAAAATCCCGGAACAGTTTCCAGGCCAGACCGAGGCTCTACTGAGGCCTTTCCCCGAAGCTAGCTCTGTGGTCACGTGGGTCTGATGCAGAATTTTAGGCTTTTACTACACTTAAACAGAAGAATGAGAAAAAATTCACCCCCCTCAGAGTTGTTATGAGTGTAAACTAGATAATTTAAACCAAAAACATGTTTTGGTACCAGGCTGTAAACATGTTTATTTCTGCTGTGAAATTGGTATTTTAACATGGGAGTCAATGAGGATTTGCTCGCTTCTGACACCAGCCCCCCAGCGGATGAGGGTGGAACTGCAATTTTTGGTACTTCCGGGTTGGGCTCAATTTTTGAGCCACATTGTGGGGGCTCGGTTCTTCTAGATACAAGGTTCTGATGAACACACCATTCAATCACCACACATTCATCCATCACAGTAGCCTTGGTTAACTTGTCATGTTTTTATTTGTTTAGAAAATCAGTTTCTTTTCTTTTATAAGCCTGACTCTGTCTGAATTGAGACGAAGTGTGTTTGATCCCTGGAAAAAGCAAAGAATCCTCGAATCTTCTGATTAAACATCCAAAGACCAAGCAGGTTGATATTCTATATTTATATAAAGTATCAGAGCTTATTGGTCATAAGTAGAGGTAATATATTAAGCTTAAAAGGAACAACATTTACCCTCTACACTAGATTGAAAGTATGTGAAAGTTTTCCAGAAAATCTGATTACGTAGAAGCAAAATATTTTTGTCCCCAAGAGGACGAATGACCATTACCTCGGGATGATTTTATTTGTCTGGTCCCACTCTGGATGTTACACCTCGGTCTTGTGAGGAGTTCTCAACTAAACTGAAAAAAGTCATGAATGATGTTGACTTTTCTCCTTCAGCATCCTCAGATCCAGAAAGAGTCTCAGTACATCAAATATCTGTGTTGTGACGACGACTGGACGATGCGCCTCTGGATGACGGGGATTCGGATTGCAAAGGTAAATTTGTTTTAAAATACTTGAATCTGTTCTAAACCAGACAGTTTGAAGTGCTACGTCTCTCTCCTGCTCCTAGTATGGCGCATTGTTGCATGGAAACTATAAAGCAGCAGAGAAGAAGTCAGTGGTCAGCTCTGCATGGACAAACCGCAGCACTCCATCCAGCTCCAACCAGTCGACACCGTCACCCACCATCAGAGGTACGAGATGTCCTCCACATCCTCAGGAAGTCAAACTTCAGACGTGGACATGAAAGCCTTTTCTTATTTTGACTAAAGTTTATTATTTGTGATCTTTTTGCAGCCAAAGCTTCAAGCCAGTCCAATGGTCACGCTTCCAAACCACAACCAGGATCTGATCATCAGGTAAACTCGCTAGCCAATTCAAGATGGCCACCACAGCTAAAATGATAAAGTGATAGTTGTTACGCTTTCTTGTGGGTAATCACTTTCTATCCCTTCTTTCTGCACCAGCATGGAGGCTCTTCGAACCCATTTGGTGTTGAAGTTTCTATAGAGACTAGATAATTCCTCAGAGCACCTCTTGGTGTTTCTTACATAACTTTTCTTAGATGACCTAACAAATGAAAATCATGTTTGACGTGCACTTTTAGACCCAGTGATGAAATGAGAAGTAAAAGCAGAAATCAGGAGTTTTCTCCAGAGGGCACCATCTAGAGGTAGAACAACTGGGCTGTACCTTTAAGCCCTCTCTCGATTTTCGTAGTTGCAGCTGAAACCAACGTCAACGAATGCTTACCACCTCTAGTCACCCAACTCATTCTCACACCCTAAGCGTCGGAAACAAACGCTTGGTCAGCCACCCTCCACGTCAGACCCCAGACGGCAAAAGTGCCCTTTTTCGTTACTTATGTGCGAAAAGGGGTTTTTCCCTTTTGTAACTGCAGATCCCAATGCAGCGTAAAACTGACGTGATGGGATATCCGCTGATGCGGCACCGAACCAGCTTGTTTAACCGCACCTAAACCTTAACGTTTCACTATTTATAACCTTCCCCTCTCCCTCATCCTAACCTTAACCCTCTTGCTACCTAAAACGTTACTCTCACTGTGATCAAGCGTTTGTTTCCCATGCACTCTGACTGTGAATTTTCATATTTGCCGCCCAAGGGGAACGTTAGAACATACCATCTGGCGAGGGGGAGGTTACACATACCCTCTACTTTTAACCTCCACCGTGTTAGTTGAAACTCCCCCTCGCGTTGCCTCGGTCCAAACTCGACCAATGACGAGGCGGCTCCTGCCATTCACTTCATAGAGCCGGCTCTTAGAGCGATCGACACATCACTAACGTGTTCGCTAGCAAGATGGTTAAGGTTAGGATAGGGGTGAGGGGGAGGTTAAATAAGAGGATAAGGTTAGGGTGAGGTACAATGAGCTTGTTTGGTGCCCTGGCTGCGGACATCCCATCACGCCAGTTTTACGCTGCATTGGGATCTGCAATCAGAAAAGGGGAAAACCCCTTTTCGCACATAAGTAACGAAAAAGGGCACTTTTGGCGTCAGGGGTCTGACGTGGAGGGTGGCTGACCAAGCGTTTGTTTTTGACACGCTGGGAGTGAGAATGTGTTGCAACAAGCCACCAGATGCATTTTTGCTAATTGTATGGGACTCTGGGATAAGGAGCTAGGTTAGCAAAAAAACGACTATCACTTTTACGGATTTCTAAAATAATTCCCGAAATGGGGAAACCTCCAGATTGCCGCTTTAACAGATGAGTGGATTTTTGTACCCAGAAACAGGACCGGATTGGTTTGGGATCATTTTGCTCTTACTGTGTTCTCCCTACATACATGTTTTGCTTTATTTCTTCAGGACTTTGGAAATCTCCCACCTCCACCTCCACCATTGAACGAGATCCTTCCTCCACCTTCACCTGACCCAGTCCTTCCACCTCCACCACCTTCACTGGCTTCCAAACCCAGTGGACCACACCGAAAACAACCCAGTGGTTTTCCTCCACCTCCTCTTGGGATAGACAACAACCTCCCTCCTCCACCGCTGCCTCCACCCATTGACGAAGCTCCTCCAGATTTCCTTCCACCCCCTCCTCCAAATACCGGAATTGGTTCCTTCCCCCCTCCTCCTCCAAACACTGGCTTTGGTTCCTTGCCTCCTCCTCCTCCTCCTGTTAGTTCTCTTCCACCTCCACCTCCACCCGCCAGTTTTGGGGGCATTAAAAAATCTCTACATCCTCCACCACAAGATCCTCAGTTTTTGCCCCCACCTCCACCTGATCCAGTGTTTACAAGTGCTGGGGCACCCCCACCACCCCCACCTCCCCCTCCTGCTTTTGCGGCCACCCCACGTGCAAATGCCCGGCCTGCCGGGTCAGTGAAGAAGATGCCTCCTGCTCCCCCAAAGAGGACTACACCAGTGGCAGGAGGTGGAGGAGGCGGAGGGGACTTAATGTCAGAACTGATGCTCGCTATGAAGAAACGTAGTGACCATTAAACAGAAGAACCATAAATATAAAACAGACAGAAACATTTATCTTTCATACTTTGGAGACGAAAATAGATTCATCTCCAAAGGAATTTATCCATCCTTCATCTTTATCCTAAGCAAGAGACTTTTTTCTCACTTTATTGCTGTAAATGATGTAAAAACAACTACGATACTCTGGATCTCGTGTGTTTTCTTAGGGGAGCTAGCTACCAACAGAGAAAGACAACAAGAGTTGATGCCCTCCAGTGGTGACAAGCTGGAATTACAATTGATTTCTGTTAAACTAGCCTGGTAAGCTGTCCTATTTAGTCTGGCCACAACCCACAGAGCAGTGAACGTCACCTGGTGGCTCGCGGGCCACACTCGGTCCGCCATTTTTACTGAATCAGGAATAGAGAACATGCATGTTCCACTTTTTTCTTTATCAAATTAAACAAACTGAAAAACAACCTTTAATCAGAAATGACTACAAACTCACCTCTCCCAACATTTTTTTGTTTAATCTGTAGCAGTTTGTAGAATCTCTGTTTGCGCTTTTCGCTAGAATAACGCTTAATTGCAGTGTCACAACAAAAACTGCTCACAGGAAGAAAGCAACACAAGCACAAGTCAACAATGTCTAGGTTGGTAGGCAGAGCCAGCTAAAGGAATTATAATTAAGGGAGGAAACAAGCTGAATAAGTAAGATTAAGTTACATAAAATGCTCCCTTTGAAAAAAAGATAACTAGTGGTTAAAGAGCAAGTCACCCCAAATCAACTTTTTTTCTGATAAACTATATAAATGTGTGTTTAATCGTGTTGACACGTGTAGTCAATAGTTTTGCACTTTAGTGAATTTTAGTTCAAATTTAAACTCTCCACTGCAGTTGGATTTAAATCTGCCATCGCTATTGGCTAAGAGGTACCCTAGAACATTAGCTGGTACCATATGATGTCACAATGTCGTTGTGAGCCTGTGTGTGTGTATTTGTTAGCGGCTCCGCCCTCTCGGTCTGCTAGGCAACAGCATTTGGTACATTTTTCAAACAGGAAGTGGGAGTGGAGTAATACTCTGGTAGGGGGTGACTTGCTCTTTAAGCACTTTTTACAAACGGCATGCTTGAAATACGATGGATCGCGGAACAGCTTCACAAATAGGAAGCCTAATATGTCACAGTCAACCCCTAATGGCTTGGGTTACTAAAATAAATATGAACATAAACACTGACAATTGCTTAAACAACAACAGAAATTTCTAAGGAAAATTAATATGTCAAATATTGATATAATGTAATCAATATAAATAATTTTAGAAGAGCATCTAGCCCTCAAAGTCTGCTGGAAACTACTTCTGACCCTCGAAGAAATTTAGCTGAAGAACTCTGCCATAGAGAGTTCAGCCATGGTTGTCTTTCAAACGGCATCTGCATGCAAATGGACAGCAGACATGACAGACTCGCCGCTGCAGGTGTCAGTCAACAAGGCAGTCCACCATACACCGAGGAAGAAAACGCTAATACATTATTTTTCTAAATAAAGAATTCAAGTACCTCTGCTCTTGAGTCGAAGAAAAGCTCAAGCCTAAATAGTTGATGCCAAAGCCGTTTCAAATGAGTTATCACCATCTGTTATTTATTTATTTTTTTTTTTAATTTTGCTCCATCTGACTGATATGCACAGAAAAACACTTTTGCTTCTGCAGTGGTCTCTCTAGATTTTTGAGGCTACTTTAAAACAATTTAGGAGAATAATTTAGCCCCTTTATCTTTTAAAGCTAATAATGTTGCAGCCTGATGGTAATTATGGTGCACTTATTTGATTGTTTTATTTTTAAATGTATGAGATAAAGCAGCTTCACACGTTGCAAGATTAATTTCCATCATACACCAACTAAAAATTAAAAATAAAGATGGACTAAAGACTGCTTTATTATATCCCACATTTACAATTACTAGATGCGTAAATACATTCCTTGTGTGAGTTTTGTTAACACAACACTGATAAAGTTCAAAATAAAACAATAAATCAAAGAAGTTTGTTTTAAAAGCCTACACAGCTCAGTGCTGCCACCTGGTGGTCATTCGGGCAAATTTTGGCTTCCTACATTTCACCAGGACTGATTTCATTTTAAACCCATACAGTACACCCAGCCTGGTTTCTGACAACTGCTTAACACGTTTAAACATTATTTGCTGCTTTATTGTCTTCCTCGTGAGTTTTTGGTAACATGACACGGATAAGAGCAATTATAAATAAATAAATAAATAAATAAATAAATAAACATTTAATTAAAAAAAACTAGCTTGCATTGATGCTGCTGCCTGGTGGTAATTATGGCGCATTGCAGCTTTCCACATTACAGGCAGATTTCTATCAAAAAATAAATAAATAAACACACACACAACTGAATTCCTGGTTTCTTGTAACTTCCTTTCGCATTAAAAATATTTGAAGCTTAAATAACATTCTCACGTGGTTTTGTGTTACTCAACACGGATACATTTCTAAATAAGGCAATAAAAAGTTTTGAAAGCTAGCATAGCTCGGTGCTGCCACCCTGTGGTGATTATGAGAAACTGCAGCTTCCATCATTACAACAGGATCACACACCAACTTATAAAAAAACGAATAGAGGGATAAAGTGGATAACGCCTGGCTTCTTGTAAGTGCTTCCCACATATTAATATATTGTGAAGATTTTTAACAATCATCATGTGATCTTTGTTAACACACAACGAATAACTTTCAAATTAAAACACTGAAATAAATTAGTTTTAAAAGCCATCACAGCTCAGCTTCCAACATTTCACCAGGACTGAGTTCATTTTAAAATCAAGTACATCCTGGTTTCTGGCAGCTGCTTAACACATTTAAAAATTAATTACTGCTTTATTTGTGTGAGTTGTTGGTAACATAACACGGATAAGAGCAAAAAAGAAAACTTTAATATTTAATAAAAAACCTAGCATAATTGATGCTGCCGCCTGGTGGTGATTATGGTGCATTGCAGCTTCCCGTATAACAAACTGATTTCTATCGAAAATAGAAATGGAAAACTAAATTCAGGACATACAGCCTGGTTTCTTGTAACTTATTTTAACAACAAAATAGTTTAGGCTTAAATTCTTTCCTCTTGTGATTTGGCAATAACACAACACAGATAAAGTTCAAAATAAAGCAATGAACTAAGTTTGCTTTATATGACTGGAGTTGACAGAAGACAGCACATTACACCAATTCAAAAAACGCTCCACTGGTTGCCCGTTCATCTCAGGATCAATTTCAAAATCATGCTTCTCACTTATAAATCCCTGAACAGTCAAGCTCCTCCATATCTGTGTCAACTCGTCCATTACTACAATCCGCCTCATGCTCTCAGGTCTGAAGATAAGCTCCTCCTAGCTCTTCCAAACGCACGTCTGAAAAGCCGTGGAGAAAGGGCTTTCTCTGTCTGTGCTCCCAAGCTGTGGAATGCATTACCACTACTAGTGAGGCAAGCACCAACAATTAGCATTTTTAAATCTCGCATGAAAACTCACTACTTCAACCTTGCATATAATACATAGTCATGGACCACTTTCGACATCTGCATTCTTTCTACAATAGAATGAACTATAATTAACATCTGTATTACTGTGGTTCTTTCATATGTTTTTATCTGTTGTTTCACATTCCTTTTGTGTTTTTAGTGTTTTACGACTGTTAGTTCTAGTATTTTCTTGTTTTCATTTTTTTTCTTATAAACTATGCTTTAAATGTCATTCTGTACGTGTTAATTAACTGTAATCTTTTAATGTACAGCGCCTTGTCTGGTTGTAATGCCATGTTGAATGCGCTTTATAAATAAAATGGTATGGTATGGTATGGTATATGCCTACATAGCTCTGTGCTGCCACCCAGTGGACATTGTGGCACATTTCAGCTTCCAACATTTCATGAGGACTGATTTCAGTTCAACTCAGGTACAGTACACACACAGAGCATGGTTTCTCACAACTCTTTGCCAAGATTAATTATTTACTGCTTTATTATCTTCCTCGTGTGATTTGGCTAACATAACGCAGTGTAATAAATAAATAAATTAAGGATAAAACGATTGCAACAACGCCACCCTGGGTTAACCCACTGCTGTGACGGGACCTACGGGTCACCGTAGAGGTGAAGGCTAGACTGTCCGAATTCAGAGCCGCTGACTTCCGGTTTTAGGGGTCTTCAAGGACCCGGCCTTGCTAGGCCGGCGAGGATCCGTACTCATAAGCATCCTCCCCGCGGATTCGGACATTCGGAGTGTCATAACTCTCTCTACAGCTCTGCCCTCCTCTCCCAATGATTGGACAGGAATTCAAGAAACGTGATTGGTAGCCAAGACTCGTGCTCTCATTGGTTCCACCCAAGTTCCTCCCACTGACGCTAGAATCGAGACAAAAAGATTCGTAACACTGTATATTTGGTTTGTACCTGTAGAATGAATGTGTGTTTTGAGAATTTTGATTTCAAACTTGTACCTTGATTTTTTAATAAAAAATAAAAAATACATGTACAAAATACAACGTTCCTGTTACAAAACAAGAAATACAAGTACAAATTGAGAATTACAAGTTAGAAAACTAAAGTTACAAGTTACGAATCCAAAGTTACAAGTTACGAATCCAAAGTTACATGCGATGAAACATGTTTGAAGTTACAAAACTTGGTACAAGTTACGCTGAATATTGTCCCAATCCTAGTTCCATACACGCTGAATATTGTCCCAATCCTAGTTCCATACATACATACATATATGCATATGAGACTGATTTATATCAAAAATTAAAACACAAAACTGAATTCAGGAAGTAGTACATGAGTATAATTACAGTAATTAAGTAGGCATAACAGAGTAAAGGACAATATTACAGTGAGAACCAAATGCTTTAGTTGTTGAAATCAATCTCTTCCGCCAAATCTTATTGTGAAATGTTTCTGACAAACGCACGCTCAGTGATTTCCGGTTCCGCCTACGTACAACAGCGGTCCCGGTCCCGATGCGTGCACCTCGTAAAGATGGCGGGGTCTTGGTGGAGGGTTTGTGGGAGGTGGAGTACAAGCTGTACGAGCACGAATGTCTCCGACACCCTGCGGTGTTTTAGCGGTATGTCTACGGGCGCCTCCGGGTCTGGTTTGAGCCGGGCGTCCTGGAGCTCCGGCCCGGGGAACGAGGTGAGTTTGTACCTAGCAGGAAGTGCTGTCAAACCCTGGAAGGTCAAACCCTCAACGCCGGTTAGACTGTGGGTCTGTATCCTCGTGTTACTGGTGGTTTCTGTGGGTCTTGCTTTGGGGTCGTGCTGCTAATATTTTTTATCATTATAGAAAATTGTTTCCTGGATTCTGCAAGGACGTTTTTAACGAATTATGATTTGTTGCATGTGTTATTTTCAGTCCATGTAAAGGATCCTTGCAGAATATTTAATGTATTTATTTAATTATAAGATGCATTCAGACAACTTGCCATTCATTCTTTTAACCTGGGATTATTTGTACTACTTTTAACTACTCAGACATATTAAAAACGTTTAATGGTAAATAGGAAATTTTATAAGACCTAACCTATAAATAAACCGTAATTACGGTATTAAATACTCATGCAAGTCAACTCCCCAGGGTGAGATAAAAATCCCTAATCTGAAGCTTAATATTTAATTGCATAGAATTAATATAACCCCACTAGTTTGTCTAATTTTCCATTGAAAATGTGTTTTTTTTTTTTGTCTTTTCAGAGAATGCCTTTGCTATCTGCACAGACCCACTCCACTGCTCTCCATCTACATCCGTTAATAATCAGGTGAGCTTTGACATAAATTGTGATTTTATTCTAGTTTATTATGTCTTTATTGCAGATTTTGATCTCATATTTCCTCTTGTTTCAGACAGAACTCAAGGTTTCTGTATCCCACACTGTCCTGCTGTTGCAGGGCGACACACAGCGATGTAAAGCTCAAAGACCCTTTTATGTTAGCCCAGAAAGACTTGAAATGCTTATACGATGACATCAAAAAGGCAAGTTAACATTCAAAAAGACGTTCTGCCCCACCTTTTGCTTCCTTTGGGCCTGTATTAAACCATTTTTGTCTCCTAGGAGATGTTTGTATCCAAACAAGAACTGAAGCATCTGTGCGACTACTATTTTGATGGCAAGGGAAAGGCCATTCGACCGATTATAGTCATCCTGATGGCTCGTGCTCTGAACATCCACAGCAACCAAGCTGGGTAAAAATGTTAGCTAATTTTCTAACAATAAACGCCATTTTTACCTTGTTTTTAAATCACGCCATCTGGTTTGCAGAGATCTCCTCCCAGGACAAAGGGCAATAGCTATGATTTCCGAGATGATTCACACTGCAAGCTTGGTGCACGATGATGTAATCGATGGATCGGATGAGCGAAGAGGAAAAAGATCAATTAATGATGTCTGGGGGGAGCGAAAGGTATGATTTTCTTCTTGGCAAGTGTTTTCTTTTATGCTTCTCCATTTTCATGTGCACTTTTTCTCTTTCAGGCTATCTTAGCAGGAGATTTCATCCTGTCAGCGTCCACTATGGTTTTAGCTCGGATCGGTAACAGCACAGTGATCAAATTGCTCTCACAGGTGATAGAAGACCTGGTGCGAGGTAAATTACGACGCATAAACAATAAAACCTCGTCTTCCCGTTATTTAAGTTAACTCGAAGGATTGTTCCTCCAGGCGAATTCATGCAGCTGGGCTCCAAAGAGAACCAAAACGAGAGATTCAAACACTACCTTGAGAAAACCTTCAAGAAGACGGCGAGTCTAATAGCGCACAGTTGTAAAGCAGTATGTACGTTCTGTCTCCACATAAATACCTCAGACCATGTACACACCTAACCGGGTATCCCACAGACTGAAGATATTTTTCTAGTGTTTCCTGTCATTCACAGGAAAGTGAAGATAAGCGACAACCAAACAATTCTTACGAAAACCTCAGACCAAAGTGGGGATTTGCTAATTGTCAGCGTTGGCTGGTGGACATAAATAACCAAGGTTTTATGTCTCGCTATGTCACTACTTGTGACAAAAAGGAGAATTACGTCACATTTACACTCACTTGTTGTTATGAGCTTAACTGCTCTGCGTAGAAGATCACAGGCGAGGGACACGACAATAGACTACCACCTCGTTATATATACACTTATATCTTTATATATACTCTTATATCTTTATATATACTCGTCTGTAAATATACTCTTCTATCTGTATATATACTCATCTGCAAATATACTCTTATATCTGTATATATACTCATATCTGTATATATACTCTCCATCCATCCATCCATTTTCTGAACCCGCTTTGTCTGTATATATATATATATATATATATATATATATATATATATATACTTATATCTGTATATATATATATATATATATATATATATATATATATATATATATATATATATATATATACTCATATATGTATATATACTCTCATATATTTACATAAACTCATATGTATATATACTCATCTGTATATATGTACTCTTTTATATATATATATATATATATATATATATATATATATATATATATATACACTCTTACAGTGGGGCAAAAAAGTATTTAGTCAGCCACCGATTGTGCAAGTTCTCTCACTTAAAATGATGACAGAGGTCAGTAATTTACATCATAGGTACACTTCAAGTGTGAGAGACAGAATGTGAAAAAAAACAAGAATTCACATGGCAGGATTTTTAAATAATTTATTTGTAAATCAGGGTGGAAAATAAGTATTTGGTCAATAACAAAAATTCAACTCAATACTTTGTAACATAACCTTTGTTGGCAATAACAGAGGTCAAAAGATTACTATAGGTCTTTACCAGGTTTGCACACACAGTAGCTGGTATTTTGGCCCATTCCTCCATGCAGATCTTCTCGAGAGCAGTGATGTTTTGGGGCTGTCGCCGAGCAACTCCCTCCACAGATTTTCTATGGGGTTGAGGTCTGGAGACTGGCTAGGCCACTCCAGGACTTTCAAATGCTTCTTACGGAGCCACTCCTTTGTTGCCCGGGCGGTGTGTTTGGGATAATTGTCGTGTTGGAAGACCCAACCACGTTTCTTCTTCAAAGCTCTCACTGATGGAAGGAGGTTTTGGCTCAAAATCTCACGATACATGGCCCCATTCATTCTGTCCTTAACACGGATCAGTCGTCCTGTCCCCTTAGCAGAAAAACAGCCCCAAAGCATGATGTTCCCACCCCCATGCTTCACAGTAGGTATGGTGTTCTTGGGATGCAACTCAGTATTCTTCTTCCTCCAAACACGACAAGTTGAGTTTATACCAAAAAGTTCTACTTTGGTTTCATCTGACCACATGACATTCTCCCAATCCTCTGCTGTATCATCCATGTGCTCTTTGGCAAACTTCAGACGGGCCTGGACATGCACTGGCTTCAGCAGCGGAACACGTCTGGCACTGCAGGATTTGATTCCCTGCCGTTGTAGTGTGTTACTGATGGTGACCTTTGTTACTGTGGTCCCAGATCTCTGCAGGTCATTCACCAGGTCCCCCCGTGTGGTTCTGGGATTCTTGCTCACCGTTCTCATGATCATTTTGACCCCACGGGATGAGATCTTGCGTGGAGCCCCAGATCGAGGGAGATTATCAGTGGTCTTGTATGTCTTCCATTTTCTGATAATTGCTCCCACAGTTGATTTTTTCACACAAGGCTGCTTGCCTATTGTAGATTCACTCTTCCCAGTCTGGTGCAGGTCTACAATTATTTTCCTGGTATCCTTCAAAAGCTCTTTGGTCTTGGCCATAGTGGAGTTTGGAGTCTGACTGTTTGAGGCTGTGGACAGGTGTCTTTTATACAGATAATGTGTTCAAACAGGTGCCATTAATACAGGTAACGAGTGGAGAACAGAAAAGCTTCTTAAAGAAGACGTTACAGGTCTGTGAGAGCCAGAGATTTTCCTTGTTTGAAGTGACCAAATACTTATTTTCCACCCTGATTTACAAATAAATTATTTAAAAATCCTGCCATGTGAATTCATTGATTTTTTTTCACATTCTGTCTCTCACAGTTGAAGTGTACCTATGATGTAAATTACTGACCTCTGTCATCATTTTAAGTGGGAGAACTTGCACAATCGATGGCTGACTAAATACTTTTTTGCCCCTCTGTATATATATGTATGTATATACTCTTATATATGTATATATACACTCTTATATATGTATATATACTCTCATATCTGTATATATATATATATATATATATATATATATATACTCTTATATCTGTATATATATATATATATATATATACTCTCATCTGTATATATTTACTCTTATATATGTATATATATATACTCTCATATCTGTATATATATATATATATATACTCTTATATCTGTATATATATATATATATTTATATATATACTCTCATCTGTATATATATACTCTTATATATGTATATATATATACTCTCATATCTGTATATATACTCATATCTGTATATATATATACACTTATATCTGCATATATATTTATACTCTTATATCTGTATATATATATACTCTTATATCTGTATATATATATATATATATATATATATATATATATATATATATATATATATATATATATACATATATATATATATGTATACTCTCATCTGTATATATTTACTCTTATATATGTATATATATATATACTCTCATATCTGTATATATATATATATATATATATATATATATATATATATATATATACTTTTATATCTGTATATATATATATTTATATATACTCTCATCTGTATATATATATATATACTCATCTGTATATATATATATATATATATATATATATATATATATACTCTTATATATGTATATATATATATATAGATATATATATATATATATACTTTCATCTGTGTGTATATATATATACTCTTATATGTGTATATATATATACTCTCATATCGGTATATATATATTTATATACTCTCATCTGTATATATATATATATATATATATATATATATATATATATATATATATATATATACTCTTATATATGTATATATACTCTTTTATATATATATATATATATATATATATATATACTCTCATCTGTATATATATATATATACTCTTATATGTGTATATATACTCTCATATCGGTATACATATATAAGAGTATATATATATATATATACTCTTATATATGTATATATACTCATATATATATATATATATATATATATATATATATATATGTGTATATATATACTCTCATATCGGTATATACATATATATACTCTCATCTGTATATATATATATATATATATATATATATATACTCATATATGTATATATACTCTTATATATATATACTCTTATATATGTATATATATTCTTATATATGTATATATATACTCTCATATCTGTATATATACACTCATATATATATATATATATATGCCCTACAGGTTATAAAAAAAACTTGTACGTCGCTTTGGATAAAAGCGTCTGCGAAATGAATAAACATAAACATGTACTCTCATCTGTATATATTTACTCTTATATATGTATATATATATACTCTCATATCTCTCTCTCTCTATATATATATATATATACTCATCTGTATATATATATATATATTCATATCTGTCATGTACTCTCATCTGTATATATTTACTCTTATATATGTATATATATATACTCTCATATCTGTATATATATATATATATATATACTCTCATCTGTATATATATATATATATATTCATATCTGTATATATATATATATATATATATATATATATATATATACTCTTATATATGTATATATATATATATATACTCTTGAGAGTATATATACAGATATGATTATATATACAGATAAGAGTAGCTCAGGAGGTAGAGCGGGTTGTCCCGTAATCTGTAGGTTGCAGGTTCGATCCCGGTTTCAGCCAGAGAATGTTGCTGTTGTGTCCTTGGGCAAGACCTTGCCTGCTGGTGGTGGTCGGAGGGACCGATGGCCCCAGTGTTTAGCAGGCCTTGCCTCTGTTGGTGCGTCCTAGGGCAGCTGTGGCTACATCGTTGCTCATCCCCACCAGCGTGTGAATGAATGAGTGACTGATTGTGTTGTGAAGCGCCTTGGGGGGTTGTAGAACCCTAAGAAGGCGCTATACAAATACAGACCATTTAACAAGAAATGACGGACGTTTATCTGCACGTGGCTTTTATTGTGAACGTTTCCAGGTGGTTTACGTGGCGTTTGTGTTTGACTTCCTGTCTGGCCCACTCTTAAGTGAAGATTCTGATGCGTTTTGGAAACGTAGCACATAAAAATAAAACCTAATGATAGCGTCCTTTTGCTTCTGAGACGCGTTCAAAAAAAATGACACAGCTGCCGGCGGAAAATAACCAGTCCACTATAACGACGGCTATTTGCCACAAAGTACATTTGACCGACATTTCACGATGCTTTCATATCCAGTGGAAAAGAAGCTCAAGTCTCCTATTCTGGTCGGCTCGTGGGTTACCCTGACTGAAAAACAAGATGAATGGAAGTGATCGGGACTTCCGCCTTGAATCACACATATGCTAAACCTCAGTTTAAATGAGAATTGTGAGAATTCACCCCCAGCGTAGCTGCTATTTACCACATGGCCAGATTTATGGTGGTTTTCTCTGGGTTGAATTCTCCTTTCGACCAGGAAAAGGATGAGAATCTCTCTAAACTGGCCACCTGTTGAAAATAAGCGCCTTCTTGGCCTCAAATAAAATAAAAAATTTAAAACTCACTCTCGACGGCCGGGGTGTCCGGTTTTATGTGTGTACATGGTCTTAAGAGTTGGAAAGGAGACTCTTTTTTTTTCTACGTGTGTGGTTTTTATTGTTGACTGCTGCACCACTTTATTTTGAAGGTTTCTCTTCTGGTAAACTCGGACCCAGATGTTCATGAAATAGCCTACCAGTACGGCAAAAACGTTGGCATCGCCTTTCAGGTAAGTTCTGATCTATGAATCGGCCGTATCAAACCAAAATTCCAACTTTGTTGAGTTTTGGGGCAAAAAAGAATCAAACTTTGAAGCTATTTTCCCAGACAAACCAGTTAATTTGTCCCTACTATAATGAAACTATTCCTACTGGCTATCAACACTGTTTCTTAAAATAATAAGTCTAAAATAAAAACTGAAACGGCTTTTCTGTGATTTTAAAAACCCAACCTGGCACCTTTTCATGTCTCAAGTTCGTCAGTATTTGGGATCAGGAAATGTTCTTAGCACTAAAAAACAATCAGTCGTAAGATTTCATGGTTTTCATCCCAGCAAGTCATTTGCACAAGTGGTGCTCAGGGTCTGGGAAAATGTAGATTTCTCTTGTTTAAATGGGTTTTTTCCCTTATTTACATCAAATAAGTTTCCAAGATTCCTTTAAAACCTTTTCCGTTATTAAATTAAATGGATACTTTTATACTTGCATGAGACAGCTGCAGCAGCGAAGGAACTCCTGCTCCAATGCATGCTGGGATTTGTAGTTTTAGTGGGTTTTCTTGCACCACATGCCATTTATATAATGTAGGAATACATTAGTGTAGAAAATAAACTATTTGATCTAAAGGCTTGTTTTTGTAGCTCGTGGACGATGTTTTGGACTTCACATCAGGAGCCAACCAGCTGGGGAAACCTGCAGCTGCTGACCTGAAACTGGGTTTAGCGACTGGACCGGTTCTGTTTGCGTGTGAGCAGGTGAAGCCCCCATCAACATTTGAAGTTTTTCCTTTTTCTAGGTACTTCAGTTACTGATCCAGAACTGATGCTGTTTAACTTTCTTTTTCCTTCAGTTTCCTGAGCTTCATGCAATGATCATGAGACGTTTCAGCTCCAAAGGAGACGTGGACCGAGCCTGGGAGTTTGTCCTTCAGGTACAGACAACTTGAGGTGCCAAAAATTGAACTGTAAAAAAACGTCCTGGTGGTCAACGCTAGTTTTTATTAAACCCTAGCTCTTATTTCTGTTTCAGAGTGACGGCGTGCAGCAGACCACCTTTTTGGCCCGGCGGTACTGTGATGAAGCCATCAGACATATCAGTTTGCTCCGGCCGTCCCCCGAGAGGGACGCCCTCATCAGGCTCACGGAGATTGTGCTCAGCAGAGACAAATAAACCTCCGCCACTCGCCTTCTCCTCAGGCAGCTGCATCATGGAAGAGGAACCAGCTCCGTTACGCCTGACCAAACGCACCTGGGGGTGGACTAGACGTCCAGGAGGAGCGCTGAGTATCACTGTACGACTCAAAAAGGCCCAGAATCGGCACCAAACATGGACTTACAGGGACGTCGGCCATTTTTAAGTGTTAATGTAGAAGTTACTTAGTTTTCTGAACTCTAACCGGAGTGATGAGCTAACGGCTAGTCCAAACTAGTGTAGCAGCCATCTTTAAAAAAAATAAACTCAGTGCTTGAACATTTTGCAGCTTTTTTCCTCAACACTGTTTACAAGCTAAATGCTAAATGTAGCACTTCCTGTGCAGGTTTTCTTTTTGTTGCCAGTGACAATATGAACTATGAAATTCTGTTGGTCTGTCTTGGCTGCTCAGACTAGCCGTTAGCTCATCAGCCTGGACAGATGGGATCCGTTTTTGTACCACGGGTGAGCTAGTTTCCATTTTTATTCCACAGAAAAACACTTGAAAATGTTTGGAAATCCTCGTTAATCTTATTGTGAAATATGTTTGGCGTTATGGTTTGTAATGATGCAGTTTGGTGTTATGAAACGGCACTGACCGGGTCACCTTAAACCTTTACTGTCAGCACTGTAAGTGGCGTCTCGGATTGGCTAGCAGAGCTGGACGTGAGGTCCGTCCACGTCGCGAAAGGCCAAACATTTGTGTTCTTGTATCAACCTTGGCCTTATCAATAACATTTTATTAAAATCTTTTTATCTCCAGAAAAACACGCACGCTGTACATAGATTTGTTTATTATAAAAGACTGTACATTAATTTTCAATCAACATTATATATACATAATGAGCAGAGAGGTGGATTCAGGACTCCCACTCAAGAAAAATAAAATAGATTCTTTTGGGAAATGAAAACAAAATCAAGGCATTAGCTGCAATTTCCTGCAGGGAGGCGATCCCTGAGCGGCACCGCCTAATGTCTGGTTCGACCCGAGCGTTCGAGCCCCCGAGGATCACATGGTAATTGTTGCTTGGAGGTATTAGAGTTGCTTTATCTGAATTGTCACATGGCAGTGTCTGGCCAACAATCACTGCACACCTTTCAGAGATTAAATCTGCTAAACAACTACTGACGGATCCCACAGATCGGAGTAAATTAACAGGCTGATTCCAGACAAAACCGGATTGTGTTAGATTTAATAAACTCATCTGCCGCTGGATTTAAAATGAACATCTAAGATCTTTTTCCAGGAAATACATAAACAGATTTCTATGTTAATTAAAGACATTTTTCTTCAAATGAATAATCTTTCAGTTTGCTTTTCTCCAGATTTTCTGAAGCTCTGATGCTTTTCCTTTGACATTTGCTGCCTTTTCACTCCTTTTCTGTTCAGTTGAAGATTTATTCTTAAAAAATAGGAAAATGTAGGACAGACTTTAAAATAACCCATCGAGAGCAGAAGAGAAATATCGAGACTTGTCTGCTAACTGTGACAATAATCTCCTAACTGAACATGTTTAGATTGTTTTTATGCCAGGATGGATCCTAGGTGTGACAGGAGCCGCTAAAGCTGCAGAAACACTTGAGAACATATTTAATAACCATTCGAGCTGCTGTGCAAAATACTTTTTTTTAGCTTTTAAGACAGGTTGTTATTTTTTTGCAGGAAAAATGAAAAAAAGAAATATCTTACTCTCCAGTCCTGGATTAATATTTTTAAAGGAGTGAAAAAGATGCAAAAATCCAAAGAAAAACTCGTAAAGAGACCTCAAGAAAAACTGCTGATCATTTAAAAATAAACTAAATAATTTATGGTTTTAATCTGAATGCATTCATAAATCCAACCAAAGAAAACGTGTGAACCAATCAGCTGCAGGATCAGGACAGACCAAACGTTTCCCATCAATCCCTAATCCATATCATTCAAATGCTTCATTAAAATATAAAAACTAATTATTTTAATGGAAAAGATTTAAATGCATACAAATTATGATAACAAAATCAAATTCCAAAAACAGAGAAAAGGGTTGTGGAGTAAAAAGTTCAGTGATCCGACAGTTGAGATTAAAAAACGTGAACACATTAACAACTTAATAGAATCATAATGGCAAAAAAGTAAGGATTATATTATATTTGCATGCTTCTACGCCAAGGCTGATTTGTTTACAGTATTTTTTTAAACTGCATCTGAATCTTATCGACATTCACAGATTATTTATTCTTTTTACATTTCAGGACTCAGAGGCTAACGTTATGTACAAACGCTCAGACTCAAGGTGTGTTTTTATTTGCTTCATCAAAACGGAAGAGGATAAGGGCTACTGACAAGAAAAAATAAAGATTTCTGACTTTAATCTCAGAAAAATATCTGATTTCTGAGATTAAAGTGAGATTTCTTTTCCTTTTCTTGGCCCTAATCCTCTTCCATTGAGAAACTTTGTTCAGGCAAAATGTCACCACACATCTCCATCACACCAGAGTAATCTAATTACTTTTTATTTTATTTGCAACCAGTAAAAGAGAGAGAACATTCTGTTTTTATTACCTAAAAAAGGGGGCGGGGTCTATTTGTCTTCCACCAGATATGACTGAATAAATAGATCTTTCCTTTCACTCGGCATAGTGCATGATGGACTCCACGTAGTTCCCAGGAAACAGGCCAGTGACGCCGTTGCAGACGCCCTCGAACCAGCCGTCGTCGTTCTTCTTCACCACGTAGATGATGGCGCCTTCCATGAACGTCAGCTCATCGTTTTTGTCCTTGGCGTAGTCGTAGATTGCAACAACTGCAAGGACAGAAGCAAAAGCATCGAAAACCAGAACTTGGTTAGTTGATCTTTCCAGTCACCATGCATCGTCAGATTAGCATACGCATATTACAGCTAATGCCTGTCTGACAGCACACATACGTCATCTGATCAGCATACATTGTTTAAGATGTGTAACACTCTGATGGGCCGGTTTACCCGTCAGATCGTCATACACTTTGCGATAAACACTCATCAGTTCATTTTTGTGGATGGAAAAACATTATGAACACAATCGACAAACGTTTCCTCGTACTTTGCCATCCGCGTGTTGAACTGACGGTTCTTCCAAACGTAGCGGAAGTTTAGATGAATGTGCATAAGCTGCTCTGACATGTATTAGGAATGTAAGAAAATATCGATATAGCAATATATCGCAATATTTTTTCCTGCGATATTATATCGATGTTCAAAAGCTGTGTATCGATTTTTTGGGAAGAATTTACGTGCAAACATTTGTGTATTTTCTTTTCTTTTGGTGCAAATCAAATGCCGTCCGCTAGTCAGCAGTAGGGTGCAATGGAGTTTGTTTCCACCACTGAAATGTAAATCCCTCTATTATGGTTCAGATACCTCATGTTAATCATGTTAAGTATCAGTTTGGACCATTTATTGAATTTTCCTACAATAATTTTAGTCTAAAAAAATCGCTATAATTGTCCGACTGAATGTATCGCAATATATCGTGATATATCGCATCGTCTCCCCTGTATCGTGATAAGTATCGTATCGCCAGAATTTCACCAATACACATCCCTAACATGTATGGTGCTGTCAGAAGTTCTCAGAGCAAACCTTTCTCTATGTAGTTCTTGGGGGCCCACTGCGGGTCTCCGTCGGCATACGGGTCACTGTACTGCACCACGGCGGCGTCCTCCTCCTCCTCGTAGTCCACCGGGGGAGGAGGGGGAGGGGGGGAATCATCGAACATGGGCAGGTCATCTGGAGGTGGGGGTGGAGGTGGGGTGGGAGTATCAGCAACTGTTCAACAAGAAGTCAGATTAAGTTAGGTCAAAAGTGGCGATCAGGAGGACGGTGGTGGGATCATGCAACATTTCATTTTAAACACAAACACGCAGGAGGAGGAGAGGGAGTCTGCTTCTTCTGCTGGGACTTTTATTATTACATTATTCTATTTCAGACATGAGAATGCAGAAAAATAGAAAGTTTCTCATCTGTTTTCACTAGATCCGTCTTCCTCTGGGGTATTTTGAAGATTTGTTTGTGGATTTTAACGTTGCCTTGCTACAAATTTCCATTTTTTGCTGAATATTTTTATCAAATTTGTCTCATTTTTTCTTTGTTGGAAGGTCAAAAGTGGTTTAGGGTTAAGATCTCCTCCACAGCATCTACAGCCTGTCATCCTTTTGTAATTCTGCTTTGAGACGGCTGCTCCAACCCAGACTAAACAGAGGAGAAACCTCTCTCCAAGGTCTCCTAAAAACGCAAACAACTACTTTTAAAAATGACAAAGAAAACCTGTTGCTGGATAGTTTTTAAACTCCAGACTCAATCATCTAAAAAAAATCCAGATCTAATTTATTATAAATTGCCTTTGACATGAATGATTTAATACGCTTTGTTAGCCTAAATGTTTTTAATTTCAGAGTTAGCATCAGCAGAGGGCAGCAGCGAGTCTCCTCCTCTGCAGTGCTCCACGCTACAGACATGCAAACCTCCCAAAAAAACTACATATTTAGGACAGACTTAAAAAAGATGCAAACAAAGCACACAGCATGCAGAATGTTCTTCACTTACTGCTCTCCTGCATCCTGGCCACAAAGCCAGTCAGAGGTATCTGCGGAGTCAGCTGGGGCATGGGGGGAGGAGGAGGAGGCGGCGCGACAGACACTGAAAGCCAGGGAGGAGGAAGACAGCGAGGAAGAGGAGGAAGGCACAAGAAGAGAGAAAGGACAGACAGAACCCGTCAGTCATCAAGAACCAAGAGGAACACGAGAGATCAGCGCGTTGTCATTTTGAGGTGAAAAATCAGTGAAAAGCAACATTAGAGGCAAATTTGGTAAGCATCGGAAGAAAAGTTCAGGGATGAAATTTCATCTGAGGGTCACTGGGGTCGGCGGATAAACATGGGATTATGTTTGATTTCAAACTCTTCTTCAGTCAGTTAGGAGAGCTGCCACTAGGGGGCACTGTTAGCTGACCTGCACACCTTAAAAATAAATCATGTGAAGCACACAGAGAATAATGATCTCTATTTATACAATTTTAACATCTGATCTGCAGATGGACATGGCAGGAGGATTAGAGACTAAAACATCTGGATGTGCACTGGTCTGAGGTCAGATATCGGCTGTTTGCTTCAGAGCTGCTACAGAATTAAAGAAATGCCAAACTAAATGGGAAAATAAAAGGTGGTGAGGGACATTTTTTCTCTGCCAAATGATAAATGTATTATAGTTAGCCTCAATAATTTGACTGATAAGCTAACAGCTAGTCTGTACCAGCTAAGATCAAAGTTTAAAAATGGCTGCACAGCAGTTTGTGGAGTTTTGTCTCATCAAACACGGACATGACCAGATTTACAGGGAATTCTGGGTTTACGTGCATAAATATCTCCAGCAGCAGTTTAACACTTTTTATCATCTAGTGCGTGAAATATCTGACAGGCTGAGCTTCCTGTCACTGTATCCCGACTGCTCATGCGCCCTGGCTACTTGACCATGGGGGACATGGTTTTGGCTGACTGGTCAGCGCGCGCGACTCTCACCCAGGAGTCTGGGGGTTGAATCCCACCCGGACTCTCGTTTCTCCACCTTGCCACATGTACATTTTGGTGCGGCTCAAACGGTGGTGTGGCAAAAAGTGATTCAGAGGGACACAAGTGGCCCACTGGACACGACTTATTTAAAGCTCTCATTTACATATAAATCTGCAGTGGTCACTAGTATGAATGAATGCATTATGAGTTGTTCTCTTTGGAAAAAAGCTAGGGATCTGCCGCTTCAGCAAGTAGAAGTTAGTCGGAGGAGTGGGGTGCAGAAGACGGCAGGATTGGGAGTCTTACTCATTAATATTCATGATATTTGGACACCTCGACTCTGACTTGCTAATAGCAATGCAACTCTTCCTCTACCTTCCATTTGCTCTGCAATGTTGACGTTTCATCTCGACAAATAACACAAGCCTGAAGGAATTCTGCCATGCTGTGGAGTTGCTAACGCTAATGGTTAGCTTCTACTAGCAGAAACGTGCTCTGCTGTCTCCTGGACGCTAAACCCAACAACAGTCTTCCCCGTCGTGAATCAGAATGGGTGAATCCATGAATGCTAATTTTCAGTGCGACATAGATCTGTGTGGATTTTGCTGACCCAAGAGCTTCCCCGTCTATTTTCTCTCCTAACGGCTGATGCAAGATATAGGGGTCGCTTTGGATAAAAGCGTATGCACACTAACACAAACATACATTTAAGCTAATAGGTTTAATGGAACCAATTGACATAGCTTGTTGCAGAAACCTGAACAGAAAAGCAGGTCTGTGCACTTTACAAATCAAAATAAAGTGGCGTTCTTTTGTGCTTCGGGTGAGGAGACAGAAGAACCTTACTTGAGTTCTGGCCGAAACCTGGAGTGCCTCCATTAATGTGAGGCTGCTGCTGCTGCTGTAGCTGCTGCTGCTGCTGCTGCAAGGAGAACTGGGAAGTGACCGACGGCGCCCGGCGGTAGGTGCCCGTGGCCGAAACCATAGAGACAGAAGAGTTGGAGGGGTTGTGTCGGGAAATCTGCCGTGAGATGGTTCCAAACTGGGATACTGGAGCGGGACCCAGTCCAGGCCCAGCGGCCACAACTAGAAACATCCCAAGACGAGACAGACAGAATGATCCACGAGGAAGGAAAGGAGAAAAAGGACCAACATCAACACCTTTTAAACACCAATTAGAACCCAAAACATAATAAATGAAGAAAACAGATGCAGATGATTAACAGTAATTCTGTAGAAATGGAAACCGTATTCAGTCCCTTCAGGATTAAATGTTGCTCAGAAAGGAAGGAGAAATGGAGAGAAACGGCAGCAACACAACATTGTTCCATGTGTGCGTGCCATAACTCAGAAATAGTTTTCAAATCACAGCAAGATATCTGGTTTTGTTTGAGCATTTCTGGATAATAAATAAACTCCCAGGAGACGAAGCTCCACGATTAGAAAGGGTGGACCCAGAGGAAGCTAAAATTTGGAAGAAAACAAACAAACTTCTCTCAAACATCAGCAGCAGAGGTAATTATAGCTGAAGCAGGACGGTGGTATTCAGAGGAGAAAAGCTCTGAAAGCATCAAACACACAACCCTTCCAGACATGCAGTGAATCTAAGCCCTACAACTACTCAGGGGTTAAGAATCAGCCCTTCATTATGGTTACAGCTGCATCAGGTACCAGAGGAGAACTCCAGAACCCAGCTGGACCAGCCACTGCAGACCACTGGGGAGCTGCTTAATGCCTCGCTTCAGAACAACGACCAAACCCATTTCACTAATTGAAGAGCAGTCTTTGGTAGCTGGAAGGATTTCAGGTCCAGGTGGAGGTTTATATATAGAACACTTCAGATCTATGAGTACAAAACTCATCAAAGTAAAATAAAGAAATCAATAACAGTTAAATATCCTGAATCTATCAAATGAAACTAAATAGTTCTTCCTATAAATGTATGTGGATAAATATATAGATATCTCTGTATCCATTTACCCCTCCATCATCTTTCTGCCATTTATCCATCCATCCATCCATCGGTCATCCATTCATCATGCATCCATTCATCTTCCATATTTCACCCATCCATCACCCATCCTTCATCTATTCATCTGCAATCCCTTCATCTATCAATCATCTGTCTGTCATTTGGGGGCGATGGTGGCACAGGAGTTAAGTGCTCGTCCCGTAATCGGAAGGTTGCAGGTTCGAGCCCTGCTCAGTCTGTCGCTGTCGTTGTGTCCTTGGGCAAGACACTTAACCCACGTTGCCTGCTGGTGGTGGTCGGAGGGACCGGTGGCGCCAGTGCTCGGCAGCCTCGCCCCTGTCAGTGCACCCCAGGGCAGCTGTGGCTACATTGTAGCTCATCACCACCAGTGTGTGAATGTGTGTGAATGGGTGAATGACTGATTGTGTTGTAAAGCGCCTTGGGGGGGGGGGGGGGGTTCCAGGGCTCTAGAAGGCGCTATATCAAATACAGGCCATTTACCATTCATTCATCCATCCATTATTTATCCATTTATACGGAGATATCTAAGATTTGTATTTTTATCTACCCAGGTAGAATTTTATTTCCCCTCTGATGCAGGTTTAACCAAAACATCAGAGAAATAATATCAAATAAAATGTGTGTGTGTGTGTGTGTGTGTGTGTGTGTGTGTGTGCGTGTGTGTATTCTGCACCTGTGCAAGCAATTTTCACATTTTTGCAGACTATTAGAAAGGACAGTTCCTTTATCAGTTTTGGTACCGCCTGATGTGCAGCAGCAGTTTGAGGTGAAGTTGTTGATCTTTGAAATGCGACTGGTGAGAAAAGACTTTGGAATCCAGTATCAACATCAAAGAAGTGAGAATTGATCTCACCATCACCACAACAGAAGTTTAGGATTAAAAGAAATTAAAGGGAAAAAAAAAAACATGGGAATAAAAACTCCCAAGAGCCCCACTGCAAGCAACAGAAACCAAATAACCAACCAAAGCCAATCACATTTTTTATCTAGTTAGGGAATAAACCACATGGATTTATTTCTTGGTTATTTGGAGTCATCTTTACTTGCAGTGTGTGCGAACACCCACAGCAGCCGTGTTCAGAAATCTCATCCATCAGAGGCGACGATCCCCCACCAGAGTAGACAGCCGGAGTCCACAAATCTCACCTAGAGATGATGGTGGAGGAGGAGGCGGTGCTGGAGGAGGCGGTGGGGCCAGCCCGGCCATGGGAGGAACAGGAGGAGGGGGCGGGGGGGGAGGTGGGGCAAACATGGGCGGGACTGGAAAAATTGATTCACGTTAACTGCAGCAGGTGCAGAGTTTGCCGACCTCACTGCTTCCTGTTACATAAGAAGCCTTCAGCCACAGGAGGACTTTCTCAAGCACACGTCTATGTGATGTGTTTCCATGGCAACCATCTCGCAGAGGAACGACAGCGGTCCTGCTCGATTTAATCCCAACACTGAACCAAAACAGCTGCAGAAAACGTACACGTGTCTCTCCCTCTCAGCTTAAATGCTCCGCTAAAGCTAATCCCCGTCACGGCGATGGTGAGATGCGACGCCACGCAGCGTGTTTGGGGCGTCAACGTGGCTTTTTCTGTTTCAATGTAAAGCAGAAGGCCTCACACAGCTTGGCCTATTTACGCAGTGGGATAGAGAATCAGCTGAGCCAGCAGCACAATGGGGCCTGAATAATCTCTGTGTGGTAAACAAGCTTCGTGTTGTACCGTCCCACTATCACACACACACACAATCATATTTACAGATTGTTAAATGGTGGCCTTAAAATGCTGGGTTTTTTTTTGGCTCCACTTAGTCAAAAATTGGGCAAACGATGCTTTCGATTACACCGTTTTTTAAATTCACGTAGGGAAGCTAGACTCTGGCTCACACTGCTGTAAACACACACACAACTAAAAAGTTGCTTTGTATTTTTCTTCCGAAAACAAGAAAATAAACAAAAAACGTCTGATTTTAGTTCAAAAGGTCATCTATGTGGAGCTCACCTGGTCCAGAGTTGGGGATGGAAGGCGTAGGCACAGCGATGGGAATGCCGATCCCACTGCTGCCGCTGTTCTCCCTGCTGCCGCTGCCCCCGCTGCTTCCACTGAGAAACGAAGGAGGGGAAAGAAAGAAGAAACAATCTGTTCACAGGGACTACATCTGCTTTTTACTGGTTCTTTTTAAGCATTAATCATTTGTGTCGATTTGATTTATTGGCTAGCATTAAAACAAATAGGAAAAGTATCTAGGATGCAGCCTTAAAGAGATGGTTCAGAGCCTTTGGTGTGTGTGTGTGTGTGTGTGTGTGTGTGTGTGTGTGTGTGTGTGTGTGTGTGTGTGTGTGTGTGTGTGTGTGTGTGTGTGTGTGTGTGTGTGTGTGCGCAGCACCTAGCAAAGATCTTCCCTCTAGTAAAAGCTCTCTGATTAACCTCATTTTAAAGTAACGGCTTAGTCGTGACATGCTAACGGATAGTCCATGCAGGGGCTAAAACCAAATGAAATGCTACCACCTTTAAGCTATAATCTAAAAACGGTCATATTAGATTTGCACTAACTGAAATTTCACAATGCAACCTAATGTACAGACAGACTGATGGGATTTCCACCAGAACTTAGCAGTCAAACTAACTAGATATCCATTGTATATCTAGTTTAAGATTTCTGCCAGATTAAGTGTGTCATGTGTTTTTAGAACAGTTTATCTAATCTGCAGGGAAAATGTTTGAAAGTAAAACACCATCTTGGCCTCATTCTGGCTAGCTGTTAGCGTGTCTGTCTGGTCATTTCTCCATTTCCTTATAATTTACCCAGCCTTTCCACCGGACGAGTACGCGTCGCACAACGTAGTCTGCAGCAAATAGCCGTCGTTGTAGTGGACGGGCGTGTTTCCGCCGGCTGCAAAGAGTCGTATTTTGGACGTGTCCGAGAAGCATAGTAACGGTCACTTCGCATCAAGTCTCTTTTTTTACATACTTCGCTTCCAGAATGCATCAAGCTCAGCAGTTCAGATCAGGCCAGACAGGAAATCAAACGCTTAAACAGTGTAAGCCATTTTCTTCCGCTTATCTGGAGTCAGGTCACGAGGCAGCAGCCTAGGCAGGCAGACCCAGACTTCCCTCTCCTCTCCCCAGCCACTTGGGCCAGCTACGATTCCCTGGCCAGCCGAGAGACACTGTCCCTCCAGCGTTTCCTGGGTCTTCCTTTGTCTCCTCCTGGTTGGACGTGCCCAGAATACTTTACCAGGGAGGCATCCAAGAGGCATCCTAACCGAATACCCGAGCCACCTCTCCTGGCTCCTCTTGATGTGGAGAAGCAGCGGGTCTACTCCAAGCCCCTCCCGGATGACCGAGCTTCTCATCTTATCTCTAAAGGAGAGCCCAGCCACCCTGTGGAGAAAACTCATTTCGGCTGCTTGCATCCCCAATCTCGTTCTTTCGATCATTTCCTAAAGCTCATGACCATAGGTGAGGGTAGGAACGTAGATCAATCGGTAAATCAGGAGCTTCGCCTTCTGGCTTCGGCTTCAGCTCCCTCTTCCCCACGACAGACCCGTACAAGACCAGCACCAATCTGCCTCCTGATCTTGTAATCCATCTTCCCCTCACCCATGAACAAGTACCCGAGATGCTTAAACTCCTCCCCTTGAGGCAGGACTTAAGGTTGGTTTATGCTTGACGCGTCCGTGAGGTCCGCACGGCTCCGCGCGGAAAAGTTGCATCATTTTAACAACCACGCCCCTCCACCGCGTCTCCGCACAGCCCAAGATTTCCGCAACGCGCACCTCGGAAAATTTCTAACCATGCGGACGGACGCGGAAAAACATGGCGGACCGGCAAGAACTAGTATGGCAGAGGTTCGTAAATACAGACATTTGTATGATTCAGCTCTCAGAGATCACCGTGATCAACATGTTGTTAATAATTCTTGGAGAGAAATAGCTCGCACTGTCGGAAAAGACGAGGACGCTGTTAAAAATGCTGAAATGCCATGTTGTAAACAGTAATTTCTACTTCTACTATGGTGTAGTGTTGGATGCATGCCGTAGAGCTCCATGCTGCCCCGTTCAGTCTGGGAGAATATCGGCTCACCGCAGAGACGAGCCGCACGAACCATAAACGCTGCGAGTTGTGAAACGCGTTCCATCCGCGAGCCGCATCACCGCGCGGAAAGTAAATGCGTCAAGCATAAACCAAGCTTTAGTCTCTGACCTGGAGAAGGTATTCTACCCTTTTTCAACTCAGGACCATGGTCTCAGATTTAGTGTAAATCGTCACATGTTTATTGCCAGTTGCTTAAATAATAAAGGAAATGGCGTCACTATGCCCGTTAAGCTAAAACCCATCTATTACGTACGCATCACTTGGGTATCTGGTGGAAAGGCCTGGTTAGGTTGTTCATGGAGACATTTACAGGATACGGAATAATTGCTCAACATCAACTTCTTTCAGAAGCTATATTTATATTTATTTTCAAGCCAAATGAGACAGTAGAAGGTGAAATTCTACTACTGGACTCAATGGAGCCAATGAAGCATTTGATACTAGTGCAGAATTTGGGACATGTGAGGAGATGTGTGTGTCAGCTCTGCAGTAGCGGTTTCATCCTGTGTTTGACCCCGGGGCTAAATCCACCCCCTCAACACTATCTCCCTCTCTCTTTCAAACTGGCCTTGATCCTAATTTCTGCTCCCGCTCTGCATCCTAACACTCTTCCATCCACTGATCCTCCCCGGCTACCACCCATGACCGGATCTTGACCTCAGCTTTGTTTCCCAGACTCCTCACACTTCCCATCCCTCAAAACCCGTGTTCACTCCCCCCTCCCCATCTCTTTGTCCCCACACCCCGTCCGACCCCCGTCTGAGTCCTCGGGGCACAAATAACGGGGTTACCTCTCTGAAGGATGATGAGAGGGAGATAAAGGCCAGACAACATCATGTCATCCCTCATTTTTTAAGTGAACGCTGCACTTCAGCGTGTTTTTTGAGATTAATCCACCCCCATCCCTTTTCCTTCTTTAACCCAATTATCTTTTAGACATAAGTTGAAAAACTGGTTACAAAGCAAGAGCTGATCCAAACAATTTTTACCTAAAATATGAAAAACAAAACATTAGAGTCATAATTTGAGTGAACAAGATCAGAAACTAAATGTAGGCACACAGGAAGAAGCTCTGGTGTAATCTCATCTGGACAGGAAGCACGAGTCCTTCTGGTGCAATATGGCCAAAGGTTGTTCAGAAACAGCAAAAGTTGTTGAGTTTTTAGGTGTTTTAATTGATCTCTGATGGAAGAGAAACGCCAGGGAAATCTTGAACGTGAATTCAGCTAAAGATGCTCTTTCAAGGTTTTAAAAGCCTTTAAAAATCAACAGAAAACATTAAAACGTGTTACAAAGTGTTCATAAAACTCACGAAAATTTCTAAGTTGGGAGCAGAAGCTTTGAGCCACCATGCAAGAAATAAAACTGATAATATTTCTTAGACCAGATGTTTATAATCCCGGTTGGATTTATCAGTCAACATTTACCCCAAAACCTCTTTATAAACATCAGAACTCACGTCAGTTATAAGAAAAAGTTTAAAAGGTACGTAAAATAACAAAAAAATTCATTTTCTTGCTGTCAAGCTACTTTAATTGAATCAGAAGAAGCCTGAAGACAACTTTCTAAGTAATTTAGACCCTAAACTGCTATTTCTGGAGCCTGAAGTCAACAGCTGAGCCTGAATTTCTGGATTCAACTTTATAATTTACAATGCTGTAGTACTAGATAAAGGTGGGAGGAGGATTATTGATGCATGTTATCTCCGGCTGCACCTCTCACCCTATAATTCTGCTTCATTTGAACTCGGCTGAAATCAAAAGTCTTGACTGAGATTATGCAGCAGCTGCAGCAAAAACCATGTCCAGGAACAATAACAGCTGCTTTTTTTATCCATTATTAGATAATAGCAGGAGGCTATATTCAATTCAAACCTCGGCTGAGGTGGACAGAGACTGGTGAACTGAATAAACCCAGCTGACTTCAAGCTAGTGTAATCAAATAGCGATGCCACAGCGGTCTGAGGGCAGATCGGACCGCGTCAGGGGTTTGAACCGGACGTTGCTGCAACTTTGGACCAAATATCTGTGCTGGAAAGTTCTGCTCCTCTTTTCAAACAAGAGCAAGAAGGGGAAAAAGAAGAATGCGTGGTATTTATTAGCATATCAGTCAGCATAACAGGCTTTTTAGCCAATGAGACGACTTTGCTCATCAGTAAGGGTTTCCAGGTTGCTTATTCCTTTCTATGTGGGGCTTTCACACATATTAATACCAGAGTGGTTTCAGCTGTAAGAGCCCCTCTGAGTCATGTCAGACAAAATGTAGAATGTAGCGCAGCAGAGGAAATCGAAGAGGTGTGAACGCGCCCTAAACTGGAACAAAGAGATTAAAACTATCCGACGTGGAGGAGAGAGACAGACGCTGGGTCCAGAGGGGTAGCTCGTACCTGTGTGTGCGTTGCCTCTGGTTGAGTGACGCCGTACGTCCAGGGCTGTTCTGCTGGCCGTGTTGGCTGCCCAGGCGAGCGGGGCTGGTCATGTAGTCGTTGGGCACCGTCGGCGGCTTCACCGGCTCCAGGGTCTTATAAGGTGTGTTGCGTCTGTAGCAGACAGAAAATAAATCCCTTTCTTTAAAGCAATCAATGTAAATCCTGTAATTAGAACAATCATTAGTGCAAATTTTATATTTGGAGTAGTAATCAAGAATCAGAATCAGAACAGGTTTATTGCCATTGTCAGTGAACAAACAATTCACAAACTAGGAACTGGCTTCGGTACTAATGTGCTACATATAACATGAATAATAAGATTAAAAATAGAATAAAATATAATAAAAAAACTAGAATAAAACTTTCAGCGATAAAAAATGGCTGGTAATGGTAACATGGCCGATAACGTGACGTTGTGTCGAGTACAGAAGACGAGCATGGTTGTGTTTATAATCTATTCACAAGTCTAACGGCAGATGGAAAGAAGCTGTTCTTATGGCAGGAGGTTCTGGTCCGGATGGACCGTAACCTCCTGCCTGAGGGAAGCGGCTCAAAAAGACTGTGACCCGGGTGCGAAGGGTCAGCTGCTAATTTAGATTGTTCAGTTATGCAAGATTACACCAAGCATTTTATTTATAATTTGCTGTAAAAAAAAAAAAAAGCTGCCATATTCCATTAAAATCCTTACTGCTTTGGACTTTTGATGCTGCCTGATAATTGTAAAGCACATTGAATTGCCTCTGTGTTTGAAATGTGCTCTATAAATAAAGCTGCCTTGCCTTTTTTTGTACATTTCTGTCCAGTAAGTGTCCTGTGGCAGGAAAAAAAATGGACTTGATGAAAATAGAAAGAGTATCTGGCCTTAAAAGCAACCTACAAGAGGAAATCAAAGCATACATTTTGTGTTTTGCTTTTTTAAGAAACAAAGATTAATCCTAAATATAACTCTTCAGAGGATCAGAGGAGCTTTTACCTTCTTCTGGGATATTTAAGCAACATATGGCTAAAACAGCTGAACATTAGGGGAAATATTGGGCTTGTTTGATAATTAGAGGATGACCAGAGAGGCTAGATTGAGCGCTTACCCGAGTGTGCCACGCCCCGACATCGGTGGGCTGGGTGGCTTCTGTGTTGGTGGGTTGGTCCTCGATAGCGTTCCTGCTCTGACTGCCTGATTGTTTCCATGCTGCTGTGGTCAGAAAAGGAGAAAATAATTAAAACTGCTTATTTTACAAACAAATTCCGTCAAGCAAAGCAGATGACGAGTGTTTATGAGACTGAAGTGAAACATTACACGCTGCTCAGACAAACTCCGCAGAGGCAAATTCCAATTATAGTCCCAGATGGATTTCATGAACGTATGTAGTTTAATCTCACAAATAAACCTAGTTTTAGAGGCGAGTTTGAGCTATCTGAGAAGCCTGTGTGCATTTAACTCTACTAAAGAACATTTAGGGAGAATAACAAGGATCCTAAGTAATAACAGACGAGGGAGGACATTCTTTACAGAAGTTGGTTAACGTGGGATGCGACAACATTAATCAAACGTACAGGGAGCTGATGATTTAATAATATACTGGGACCAAACGGGTCATGTGACAAAGAGGACTTACCTTGGCTTTTAGCCACTTAGTGTGGGTGAAGGACAAAAGGAGAGAGAGAGAGAGACAGAAAGAGGGCATGTCAAAATGCACGGATCAGTGGAAGTCAAAGCAAAAGGAGGAAAATAATTCCTCCTAGTATTTATTCAGAGTAAACATTTAGCAAGACGAGGGAACGCTGCAGCAGCTGCAGAGCCACACCCAAACCTAAAAGTTCAGAGAAATCTAGAGCCTAAATATAATAAAACTCAAATGTCGCCATAAAACAGAACCAGGTTTTTAGGTAAAGGGCTTTCGTAAAGTTAGTTATTTTCAATAATACGTCGTCTGATTTTACCGAGCCGACGCTGGAGCGATCTGCAGTTTGACAGCTCCAGCATCAACTGGCTCATCTATAATGCAGAATCCCCTGAGGCCTTTGCAGGAAGCATTATGGGATGGAGATAAGAGACAATTTGACAAAACTCACAACAATGTCCCTCTTATCTTTTATTAACACCTTCATTTCAGCTGTGATGCTTTTTTCACATTCAATCAACTCCATCCATCTATATCATTCCTCCAAAAAATGTTAACTTTCTGCTTTAAATACAACAATCAGTTTGTAATCATGCCTCCGTCCTGCTGAATCACCGTGGGAATGTTTAAATAGGAACATTTGAGATTGAGATGGAATAAAAATCTGAAAAACAGTTTGCATGGAGCAAAAAACACAAATGCTACCTAAATCCTTCAAGTTGTTTTCATATTTTCTCAGTTCAACAATTAACTCAGAATTGTGCATATTTGCATCATTGGAAAAAAGATCATATGCTGCTGAGCTCACAGGTAAAGCAAGTATAAATGTTACGCGGTGCTTTTAGTGTCCTGTAAAAAAGCCAGACTAAACTTGGTTGCTGACAGAAAAAGAGAATCTGAAAAGGGTTTGAGACTGACGGAGCTGCAGGTCTTAAAGGATGAAGAACAAAGTCACTTCTTCCACAATTCTACATTAGACGGAAGCCTGGTGATCGATGTCTAGCTTTAATGTGCAAACCGATAATCAGACACTAGTCTTGCTTTAGCTCAACATCAGGAAGAAGCACATTCATCTCCTTTATTTTCCACTTTAATTGAAAAGAGATAGCAAAAGACGTGCAATCCTTTGGTAAATTCAGTCTAGACTATTGCATCAGTTAGGGAAAACCTGAAACATATAAACATTGGTGTCATCCTAGCTGGATTCCTGAAAGCTTTACTCTGCTAAATTAAACATAATCTGACAAGAGAAACAATTGCTTCTAGGTTCTAAAAAACAAACAAACAAACAAATAAACACAATTCCCCAGGGTGCCTTGAAGGTGGAGGACAGTTCTGATCCATCCAGAATGAGATTCCAGTGATAACTGATACAATGCTGCTGTGTTCAGATTATAATCAGATTATCCTCTACATGAATTTCACACCCCTCTATATTATTTTCTCTCATTTTTAAAGAAAAAATCTGATCTGAGAATTTTTTTTTACTAGGGTTTAACAATCCCCAAACATTTTGGCTATCGAGATCTGTGAGGCAAAAGCTGTTGATTAACAGCAAACTGAAGCCAATAAACATGATTTAAACCCTCGCTATGAGCATCGATCCTGGTCTCTAAGTAAACCGTGTCTACAGAGAATTCACACGAGCTCAGATACTTTATGCAGAAATATGAAGTGTTGGCATCAAGGATCAATTGGCTGTTCGGTACGTGACACGAACAGATCAGAGGAGCTTGACAATGAACAGTCCAGCAGAAACATGTTTGTCTTTCTGACATTCACAGACGGAACCGTCATTCATTAAAATAAGTAAAAAAAGTAAAAATCAGGTCAGCTGTCTTTCCCAGATGATGATCTACTGAGCAAAGGGGATTTTCACACAATTGGTTTGGTTGATGAATATGTGATTAGACTTTAAAAATGTTTACAAGAAAACCAAAATGTGTAACTACAAACCAGATGATAATTAATTGGTCTGTTTCGTCAGGGTTTGAAGTACTACAAATAATTAAAGGAAGATGGTGATAATTTTCACATTGAGCCGTGTCAGATACAGGCTATGTGATGAAAGAAATCCCAACAATGGTCTGCTTGAAGAAAATCTCAAAGATGACTTTGCAGCTCAGGAGGTAGAGCGGATTGTCCAGTAATCGGAAGGTTCAGGTTCAATCCCGGTTGTGACCAGAGAATGCTGCTGTTGTGTCCTTAGGAAAGACACTTAACCCGCCTTGCCTGCTGCTGGTGGTGGTCTGACCGGTGGCACCAATGTTTGCCAGGCCTCGTCTCAGTCAGTGCACCCCAGGGCAGCTGTGGCTACATCGTAACTCGGCAAAGCTGTCGAACATTGGCTCCGCTGGTTCCTCCAACCACCACCATTTGCTAAGAGCATCCCTGAGCTGTGTGGTTACAGTCTGATGAGGTGATTGTTTAGTCTTTTTGATTAGAGGCTTGAACTCCTCTTGAAGCAATGTCTTCAACAACCACGGGAGGAACATCCCATCCAGGTTATGGTGTTAACACCTTTGGGTAGAGTACTCCATGGCCAATAAGGTTTCTATCTGGATGTTCTCCAACTGTCTGAGAGTGATCTGTGAAGCATTTATCAAACTCCTGACCTGAGTTCTGAAGAGGTTGGCTCTGCCATTTGTGGAAGACGCAGTTAAAATTAGTCACTTACACACATATAAACAAGATAATGTACCGCAGTGTTCATCTATATGACCATTGGGTTCAGTTTTAGCAAACTATTGAAGCTTGTGCAGTACATCACATCCCAAAATCCAAATCAGACCCGACTATGAGAAGGTGTGTAAATTCAAACTTGCAGCATACACTAGGGTTGTGCAATATTTGAAAAAAAAAAAAAAAAAAATTATTCACATTGTGATTTTGCAATATTAAAAAATACAGAAATGCTCAACAGTTGACTTGCACTCTTGTTGACCTGTTTAACCCCAACGCCCTCCAATTGGGGGCCTCTACAGTTTCATGTCCCAAACATCTACAACTGTCACATTCTCCAAACAACTGAAACCACAACCAAACAGCCCAGATGGGAAACAAGGCCATTTTAAATTCTAATAAATTAAGATACAACGATATTTGAACTTTATTTTAGAAGAGCATCTGACCTTCTCTGGTGTCTGCTGGAAAAATAAACCTTGAACATATTTAGTTGAGGACCCCTGGAATAAATAAAACAATAGAATAAATTTCCTAAATGAAATTCGAACTCACAACCTCCATCCTGTCAGCACCTTCACACAGGGCAGCTCTTCTAAAATAAAGTTCAAGGACTATTTTATCTTAATGTATCAAAAACCAAAAATTGCTTTGTTTACAATCTAAACTGTTTTGGTTGTAGCTGTAGCTGTGCTCGGGGAATGCAAACAATCACTGACACTTGGGACATGAAGCTCCAAAGGTCCCCAATTGGGAGGCGCCAGGGCCCAAGAAAAAAGGCCTAGAGCCTAAAGGGTTAACCCATATTTTATGTGGGTGGTGAATTATTCTTCCACATCAAATTAACCTTTTTGCAACATGATGCAATCTGTAGACACGATAAACGGTTGTGTCAAACAACTGGGAATGCAAAATAATGTTCAACTTACCATTTGTGGCATCATATCATTCATTGACAAGATACCGGTAAATACATTTACATCAAAAACAATCTTCTTGTATCCACAAGGGTGCAATTAAAGCTACAATGGCATATGTGAAAAATAAACTAGCTTAAAACATTTACCACCCCTCTTAACAACATTCTAACCTTGTATAGCCATAAATATATTGTGCAGATTTTTTAAAAATGAAGTAGATTTCTTGCATTTGTCTAAAAACGTCAACCAATAACACGGCTCGCTCTGAAACAAACACTCGTACCATCTGGTTGTGTGACCATCACACTTCTGCATCTACCTGGGTCCTCCACTCATTACACTCTCGTGTATTTTACAACGAACACCACTGGTGTGAGAGGTTCTCCGCTCAATAATATCAGAGAAGGAGAAACAGCCGGCTGCTACCACTTCAACTTTAGGATAAACCACTAGAGTCCCAAAAAGAAAAACACAATTTGAAGTTGCTGAAAACAAAAGATGTCTGGACCTAGAAATGGCAACTGTTTTTCTTGCCGGTGTCGGTACAGGATCGGCTCGGGGTCCTTCGACTGCCGATGATGTCACATTACTGCAAATCTACTCGGCTTTCACACACACGTTTTGGAAAGACATCAGCAGTTTTGTTAATAAATTCTTGTTTGTTAACAACTAATTGTTTTCTTTATAATTGTAATTTGTTAATAAAACACCATATTATTTTTGTTTTGTAAAGAATGTGAAACTGCATAAAACCAACATCGGACTGACAAAAAATAGAACAGTTCTTATGTGTGAAGCCATATCTGTATTAATGTGGAGTTCGTCTGTATATTTCCTTAGTTGTCATCTAAATACATTCTTTGACTCAAAATGTTGCTTGGTGTCTTTCCAATAAAGTTCTTATATTTTATTTTGCCCCATTTCATCAACATCAAGAGCTTTTGAGGGTCACCGTTTATCATTTGCTTATATTTTACATTTCCTTTAGAAATTCAAACATTTTTTCTCCAAAAAGTGTTGATTTTTGGACTACAGGACTACAACCGCTAAGACTATGACTGCATATTTATTCTGACCAATCACAATCATAACGTGATAAAGTAACTTCCGTAAGCTTCATGTTCGGCCAATCAACTACTTTGACATCATCGGCAGTCGAAGGACCCCGAGCAGATCCTGTACCGACACCGGCTCTCATTTACTCTGACAATGCTCATTCCCAGATCTGGGGGGCTCACCAAGGAGGGAAACAATGCAAGAATTTAATTTGAAGGCGTTACCAAATAAATCAGCATAATAACTTCTTTGGATGTCTGTATCTGTCCGGTTAGTAAAGATGGGATTTGGTTAGTTTAAGAGTGCTAAACTAAAAAAGATCCTGTTTTACAATTTTTCCGAGGCAAAAATCAAGAAAACAGATGTATTTATACATCTACAGGAAGCAACGTGCCATGTTCCCAGTTTGTTACTAAACTGAAACTGTATGTGTAAATTCTGTTTAGAAAAGGAGAACCCCAGAACATTTCCATTCACTAACAAGAAATGACTGATTTAGGAGGTCCTTACAACATACTTTTGTGGTGTGAACTGCACACAAATCAAAATTATTCTGTTCACTATTGACTTCATCCTGACTCATCAGTGTCTGTAACATGATGAAATGGTCATACTAGACTACTAATTTAATCCTTTTGACAGTTACGATTGATTGGCTGACTGACAACGGGAGAACCATCACTGAAAGCATCAGGAAACGATGTCACTGCCCAGACAATCTTCAGACCCTGAGAATGAGTCCTAATGGTGAAGAGGTTTATCAAATCAAACCAAGTGCTATCCAAATAACTCCACAACAAGATTACAAGGGTGTGAGCTTTTTAAAATGTCTCACATATTTGCCCTCTTTCTAAAGCGCCAAGAATGGATTTTTTTTTTTTTTTTTGCTTCATCTAAAAGCTAGATGATGTAATCACTTTGTAGCTCTTCTCCACCCCCAACCGGTTCCCACCAACCCACATTCAAAAATATCCCTGCAGGGTCAGGAGATGAAAGAGAAGGCACAAGAGACAAGACTGTGAGCAAAACAAAAAAGCAGATCAGTGTGAGAAGGCAAGAGGGCGAGAGGAAGGAATCCCTCTGGCAAAAAAGTACTAACAAGCAGACGGGGAAGGGAGGAGGAAAAACAGGGCTAAACAACAGCAAGGTCACCTTAACTCCATGTCCGACATCATCCAGGACGGTGTAGTCTATGGGCTTCCTGATGTACCTGACCGGCCGCTCCACGTTGGACGGCGCAATGATCTTATGAGTCCTCGCTGTGTTTTTGTTGGTGGTCAAGATCCCGATCTCCCGCCTGGCTACCTTCTCTTTATGGATGTCCACCGTCTGTAAAGGGTGATGACAGAAAAAAAGGTTACGATCGATACTATGGTGGAACAAAAAACTCAAACGTGAGGTTCAGCATGGACCTCTGGGACTTAATGACCTCATCGCAAAGCAGCTTGGGTAATTACATTACAAGGGTGCGCTTTTCATCTTTTTATAGCAGACAACACATCTCAGGGTCAAATCTTGGTAGAATGACCACTTTATTTAACCCTTTAATTTTCTAATGTTTTTGTCCTTTGAGCACAAAAAAATGCACTAAGGTCGTCGTATAAGGGTTAATCATAAATGTAGATACTGAAAAGGTTTAACTGCAAATTAGACATTGGCGACTTAGGTAAATATCTAAATATTTGAATATTCAATTCTCTTTTGTAATGGTGGTGATTGCTTGTTGTTTTGAACCCATTCTCTTTAGGACAATCACCTTGGCTTGAAATACACTTCTAAATCCCTGGGAGCGTAATTTTTGAATGAGTACTCCATCAGATCATTCAACCTCCACCAAAATGACGAGCACATCAGACTCCTTTTCATCACTGGCAACAAGTGAAGAGGTAAACGAGTAAAACAACAATGTTTATGAATGGCGAAAGCTTTGTAACTGCTTGTTACAAATCAGTAAACGTGTTTTGTCCTCACAGGCTCCTGTAGAAGGAAACATTGCGTTTAATATGGCATCGCCCAGAGACTCATGCCTGCTCCCATGTATTTTAGACCAGATTTTTATGGTTGCGTGTCACAAAGCCACCAATTTTATTTATTTGTTTATTTATTTCAAAAACTTGTTATCATTTAAATAATTTTCAACAACATGTTGATGGATGTTTCCAGAAATAAATGGTAAAAAAACACTCTTTAAGATAAGGAAGTGTTATGTTTTTGTTTTAAACAAGTTTCATATGATCAACGGACAGATTAGGTCAACTGAAAGCAGGAAAGAGACTATTTTCCATAAGAGCAAATTAGGATTTCTTTCATTCAGTTTGTCTTTAAGTGTTAAACATAGTAGATTTTGACATGTTGGTTCATAACAATTGGGTATTTCTGCTTATTTTCTAGCTGTAAGCTAAATTCATCTCTATCAGTAAAGGCTGGTGCAAAGTGCATATACACAAGGGACTAAAAATATTTTCCTTGTTAAAGAAAAATTACATTCAAAGGGTGAATCCATATTTCATAACATGGAAAGTTGCTCATTCCTAATTGCTCCCTGAGAGAGTTCCCCCACAAAACAGAAGCATCCGTTCCGTTTCATTGGTGTCTGAATTAGGAGAGATAACCGTAAGTCAACTACGGTAGTCTCTAACCTGAGCTAAGCTGCCAGAACTTTACGTTTATTATGGATTTTAAATAAAAACTGACACATTTTTGCAAGGAGCTTAAAAAACTAAACTGCAAATAAATTATTTTGAAATGGAGGAGCATCAGTGAGGTACAAACTTCACAAAAGGCTCAGAGATCATTTTCTAATTCGTCAAAACAAATTTCTTTAGGACTACATGGTAGTGCAGCGGGTAGCACTTGCCTCACAGTAAGAAGTTTGGAGGTTTGAATCCTGGCTGCAGCCTTTTTGCCTTGCGTTAGCATGTTATCAGGGTACTCTGGCTTCCTCCCACAGACTAAAAACGTGCACATCAGGTTAAATGGAGACTCAAAGTTACCCCTCTAAATTGCCTTTGATTGGCCCGGTGATGGACTGGAGACCTGTCCAAGGTGTCATGCGTCTCTCACCCAATGACTACTGGATATAAGCACCAGGGGCCTCATTTATCAAGCTTGCTTACGCACATAACAGGGTCGGAAAACTGCGTGAGCAACTTTCCATGCAAACTTTGGGATTTATGAAAGAAAACTTGGCGGAAAATGTGCGCAACTTTAAGTTGACTAAGGACCTGTCTTTGAAGATGGGATGTATGGTTTTTCCGGCGGTGTCTCAGTTGAAGTCATTTCAGAAATAATTTGTTAGAAAATTCACAGAATATCCAGATTTGAGAACCAAGACCAGACCCGCTTCGGGGGAGGAGACCAAATTGAAGCTGAGATGGGAGGAAAATGCATGAATGAGGCCAAAAATGGCTTTGGCGTGTTTCTTATGAGGAAATGACAATATAACATGGTAAAAAGTTCCAAAAGTTAGATTTTTAATTATTTGGAACCTTTACAAAAACTGTTCAATTAACTTCTCAACTCCGTCCTCAATCTTGCATTTTAGATGATATTTAGCTTTAACACCCTCTTTGGTTCCAGAATGCTATCAAGTCTGACAACTGGAAGGAATTGGACTGACTCTGATGGAATGGGCGGGACTGACAGTGGAATGGGCGGGGCAGACTCTGGTGCAGCTCCACCTTCTGGCACAGCTCCGCCTTTGTGGTTCTGCAGCGAGCACCACTCGACTTCCTGGGCCTTTTGACCCTAATGGGCGTTCATTGGTAAGATCTTACTCCAACACAAAAATTTACAATTTAGGAATCTACTGCCCCCTATCGCCAGGAAAAATACACACTGTCACTTTAAAAAGCATACAGCTTTTCATTATATTGTTCCATATTCAACCTTTAAGTTTTATTTTATTTATTTTTATATTAGGCTTATTTATTTTCCTTGCAAAATTGTCTTATCTTTTTCAGTTTCCTAAATCATTGTTTTATTCTTTGTAAAAAGATCTAAAAAAAATTTAAACATAAAAATAGAGTTTTATTTATTGTATTAACAATTTTTGATATGGTGACACGCCAATATGGATGAATTACCAGTAAAAAAATGGAATAATAAAAAAAATCTGTATTTGCTGAATTATATGTTAGGAAAGGTATTGTGGCTTTGGTCCAACTTTGACTAAATAACATTATGCTTGATTTCACATGATCTTGCAACAAAAGAGATGACTTCCAGCAACTAAAACATTAAATTTTAGCTAAACTGAGTTTTCATTGGAATTCTTCTAAGTTTCATTAAATTTTGTCCAGTCGTTGATTAGATATGTTGCCAAAACAAAAAACAGAAATACACAATGAGCATTATGAGCAACGGAAAACCATCTGGTGTTGGTCGAATCACTTCACAGAGAACAGCATGTGGACAAACATCACAGCTGGTGAAGAAGGCACGCGAGAACACGGCACACATTCATGTTCCTGTAAAGAAAGTAGGCGTGTTATAGCCTGGCAAGCCAGACTAAATAAATGTATTATTTAGTCTGGCCACACTCCATTGACGGCTCGCGGTTGTGGGGCGTGTTCTACCGTTGTCTTTCAAATGATCTCCGCATTCCACTGGACAATGAATGTGACATACTCTTGTTTCACTCTGTTGCATCATCCCACCCACCAGGCATATAGAGGGCCCTGATTGGCCCACAAAGCGGATAAAGCTCTGTGATTTGTTCACTAAGCAGATAGAGCACTATGACTGGCCCACCATTATGGACCAATCACAGCTCTTTATGTGTTTGAAACCCCTCTAGAGAGCTGTGATTGGCTAGCCAGAGTCCTGGTAGGAGCTGCTGAGGTTCCAATGGAGCATGCCTAGACCATTCTTCGCAAAGCAAGAATTTGGTCTAGTTCACTAGGCTAGGCGTGTTACTCAACAGAGGGGTCAAACTCAAACCACTTTGTTTTCAGCTAAATGTTTCACCCTGCTGAGATTGCATCATAATCCACAGTCCAGTGCACAAAGAAAGTTAAACAGATCTGACATAAATGCAACGGTTTAAGCAGATAAGCGCCTTGTAGCATGACCTATTTGAACCCAGCTCAGTGGGAGCGATGGCTGCCTATACCCTCAAGATCGCTTCTCTTCGCTTTTTAATGGACACTGAAAAAGGTGTTTATTCTACTCCAGTGGTCTGACTCTTAGGTAAAAACGAGACTTGATGATCTGAAGTGCTTTCATCCAATGGCTGCTTTCCCAGAACATTCTGGCTCTTCTGTTTGGCTTAACCCATCCGATTCAGGCTTTTAAGATTTAAACACAACTTTCTGGTGCCTTCTTCCCTTCATTCTCTCAACAGTTCTTTTACTCATCACTTCTTTCATCCTGACATTTACCTTTAAAATGCAGCCAGAGTCTTCATCTGCATGTTTTAGGTAAGACAAAAGGGGAAAAAAAGTTTAAACAATTTTGGACTTGGACCTTTTCCGATTTTAGGATAAGTGAGTCATCATTGATGCTGGTGCCAAAAATCATCATGTTGCCAGTAGTAACAAGCACCTAAATATTTGTGAATGGTTTATTTCTCTTTAGGCTAAACTGTTTCAAACAATCCATTTTACTATTAGAACCTCAAAAATCCGGAATCTAACAATGTCGTCTCTGTCTTTCACAATAAAAGGCAATTTCTGCCAACCTGTGTAATCTGGAAAGTAGGTTTGGGCAGTACTACGAAAAATCTTTTCATAAGGTGCATTTTTTTTAAGTTGTTAATATTATGTGTGTTATGTTGCTGTTGTTGTTATAGTAATAGTGTTTGTTATTCAGTTTCTGAATGAGGAAGATCAAACCAACAGCATGGTAATCCCACTTAAGGCTTACATCATCATTTTTAAAATTAGTCCTGGTATTACCGTTCGCCTTGGTAAAAGTTGGAGGAAGCTAGACGATATAAAAATTTGGATACTGCCCAAGCCTAATGGAAATGTTTTTAAAGTATTTTATGAAATATTATTTCACCTTTACAACATGTTAGCCATTACTAATAAAAATTCAATGTGAAACAAAGGCACTAAAGTTGGGCTGTACAGCAGAGAGGTCCAAGCCCTTCTCCTATCAACTTCAGTTCATCTGGGATCCCAAAGCATTCCCAGACCAGTCCAGAGATAGAATCCCTTCAGCATGTCCTATGTTGGCAATGGAGTCTCTCCCTGGCTAGATATTCCAGAAATGGAATGGTATAGAAGTGTTCTCAACAAAAGGCCATCAACCCCTTATACCCACAAAGCCCACCACAGAGCGTCTCAGGAAACATGGTCATTAGTGTTCTTAAGATCCACAAAACC